AGATTGATTGCGTTCCACCATCCTTTTAGCTTCTTCCCGTTTCTACCTCCACACTTCCATCCCTTTATCCACCTCAGAGCTTAGATTCACTACACGTCTCTGGAGGAGAGAGAAAATAAAATGAAGGGAAGGGATAAATAGAAGATAGAGATGGAGGAGTAGAGTTGCATAAAAGGGGGAGGGTTCAAGAGCATACAATATATTGCTGACAATACGTGAAAGTGAACTACATACAAACTTTTTGGGAGGTAATATGAAGAAACATAAGAGAAGGTACTGACTGCTAACGTCTCTCTCTCCTGCTTTCTCCTCAGCTGTCCTTTCCTTGGGGGGTGCCGACTGGCCATCTGTGTGTAAAACACACCCACAAATCATAACCCCGAAAACCACATGAACATAACGTGTACAAACGACACACACACAGCATCTACCAGCTCCATTGACCAACCATACATTATGTTCCTGCCATACATTAAAATGAATGCTCCAATCGTGAACTTGCCTGCAAAGGATCAGTCAGGGAAATCTGTCAGGGGGCCATACTCTGTTCCACTGCGGGCAAGACCATTTCTGTGGACAAAGCCAGGTGGAATTGTAAAAAAAAGTACACTACCGTTCAAAAGTTTGGGGTCACTTCGAAATGTCCTTGTTTTCGAAAGAAAAGCCATTTTTTTGTCCATTAAAATAACTTCAAATTGATCAGAAATACAGTGTAGACATTGTTAATATTGTAAATGGCTATTGTAGCTGGAAATGGCTGATTTTTAATGGAATATCTACATAGGCGTACACAGGCCCATTATCAGCAACCATCAGTCCTGTGTTCCAATGGCACGTTGTGTTTGCTAATCCAAGTTTATCATTTTAAAAGGCAAATTGATCATTAGAAAACCCTTTTGCAATTATGTTAGCACAGCTGAAAACTGTTGTGCTGATTAAAGAAGCAACAAAACTGGGCTTCTTGAGACAGACTAGTTGAGTATCTGGAGCATCAGCAATTGTGGGTTTGATTACAGGCTCAAAATGGCCAGAAACAAATAACTTTCTTCTGAAACTCATCAGTCTATTCTTGTTCTGAGAAATTAAGGCTATTCCATGCGAGAAATTGCTATGAAACTGAAGATCTCGTACAATGCTGTGTACTACTCCCTTCACAGAACAGCGCAAACTGGCTCTAACCAGAATAGAAAGAGGAGTGGGAGGCCCCGGTGCACAACTGAGCAAGAGGACAAATACATTAGAGTGTCTAGTTTGAGAAACAGGCGCCTCACAGGTCCTCAACTGGCAGCTTCATTAAATAGTACCCCGCAAAACACTTTCTAGGCAGAGTTGCAAAGAAAAAGCCATATCTCAGACTGCCCATCTTAATCTTTTATTTTTATTGGCCAGTCTGAGATGGTTTTTTCTTTGCAACTCTGCCTAGAAGGTCAGCATCCCGGAGTCGCCTCTTCACCGTTGACGTTTAGACTGGTGTTTTGCGGGTACTATTTAATGAAGCTGCCAGTTGAGGACCTGTGAGGCGTCTGTTTCTCAAACAAGACACTAATGTATTTGTCCTCTTGCTCAGTTGGTTGCTGATAATGGGCCTCTGTACGCCTATGTAGATATTCCATTAAAAAATCAGCCGTTTCCAGCTACAATAGCCATTTACAACATTAAGAATGTGTACACTGTATTTCTGATCAATTTGATGTTATTTAAATGGAGAGAAAAAAATGCTTTTCTTTCGAAAACAAGGACATTTCTAAGTGACCCCAATTTTTTTAACTGTAGTGTATATCAACAGTCAACACAGCCGTAATAGCTACAATTGTGTGTGTTTCATTTTGTCTTGACAGTTGTTTCTGTCTTTTAGAGCTTACTCTTGTCCTCCACTTGATTCCAGCCTGTGCCCCACATGTCATAGTAAAACAACGACTGTATTGCCTCAAAGCTGAAAACAGACCAGGAATTCAGTTCATTTAGCTAGGCTGTCTAGCTTGTGTTTCTGAATCTGACATTGATTGAGCAGCTCACGTACATAGAAAAAAATAACAATTTAAGAGAACAATGGATTCGTTAGAAATATCTGACGACAGGGCTATCAAAGATTAACATATGTTACACAATACAATGACTGAGACATGTAGTTCGTCCTCATTCTGAATCAGTCACGGCCACTGACCAAGAAAGTTGGCTAGCTAGCTAGCTAGGCATTTAAAAAAAATCTAACCTAGCGTAACCATCTATCTATCTAAAGATCAAACGCAGATTATTGTAAACTGGAAGCCGGATACTATTTACATTTCAGAAGGAAATTACCATTAGGTTGAATGAAAATTACAAGTAATTGTAAATAACCTCATCTGTACTACACAATGTCCCAATGGGCGCCGCCATGTTGGATTTTCATGTGAGGATTGTTTGTTTTGACTTACAAAATCAAATGTGAAGTATGAATTGGTTGTGGTGAAGTCGTATTTTATAATCATAAAATTACACTTTTATTCGATTTTACTATTATGCCAAAACACCTAATTATAATATTGTATTTACACCTGAATTATACGTAAATATTTTTTAAGTATAATTACACACACAATTTGTCATCATATAAAATGTTTTGTCCCCCAAAGTTGATGTCATAATTTTCAATCATATTTTCCCGTGCTCCAGCTGCTCTTACTGAGTTACTGCTCTTACTGAGTAAGCCATTAAGTATTTTTCTGTTAACTTTACAGACAAGTCCTCACTCGCCGACAATGAATGTTCCAGTCAACTCAAGGGAGCGGGAACCAGGCACACACCGACGCCCGTGCGTTTCAGTGTAGGCTACTGCAAGGCCAATGAAAGAGTCTAGGGAGAAAAGAGGGGGCTTCGGGGTAGGCAAAATCAGCCTGCCCAAAGTAGGCTCTATATACACAAACTTGTTTTACAAGGATGTGATTAATATTATGAGTTAATGTCACCAAAACGACTCAGATCGCATAGAAATGTATGACACTTGTTTACTTTGTATCGTCTTTGAGAACACATACATGCCGAAAAAATCCTAGCGCCGTGTCACTAGGGAATGTCCTTCCGCACATTCCACAGAATGGGAGCACAAAGTAGTACCCAAATAGGTTTGGACCATATGTTTATAGGTTTGCCCGATTGCACCGATTGCACATATTCTAGTCACGTAGGCCTATACCAAAGACATATTGCAACTGTGTCAGGTCTTAACTAGCAATATATTGCTTTCTGCCTCAGGGCACAACATACTGGTGTGTTGTTGATAAGGCCTGGGGCAATTAACATACCTGAGACAGGTATTTGAGAGGTCATAATTGTGTAATAAATCATTAATCCACCCATGTGAAAAATCTGAATGCAATGACCTACCTCTTATGATTGTAATTTAGTATAAATTATGCTCTTGAAAAGTTTTATCCACAATTCCACATTCATTCCTATTTAAGCCCCCACTGAATGAAAGGCATACCCTCTTATTTGGTTTACATTTTAGTCATTTACATTTTTAGCTCTTATCCAGAGCGACTTACAGTTAGTGAGTGCATACATTTTCATACTGCTCTTTACACTAGGTAAGCCATGAAATATTTATACAGAATAGATAGGAAAAACACAAGATTGTGTCTTTTGATGTGTCTGTCACCCAAACTAGTGGACTCTGCAATGGCATTGTTTTGACCCACTGGGAAGTTTGCGTATAAACGACGAAATGTTGTGGGACGTTATCCATTCGCGATGGCTGGCAGAAAGGTGTTCCGGCCTGAGGGAAAAAAACGAGCCAGTGGCTGATAAAGGAAAAAGAGGGGGAGGGAAGTAATTTGGGGAAAGAAAGGAACAAAGTTGTTGTAGGCTGTGATACATTTGTGGAATGGATTAATGCTAGCCTACTTTTACGGTGAATTTGGTTTGGCAACGGTCAGTACAGTTAAAGGCAGCATGCGTTCCGTTCTGAAACTTATCCGCTTATTTTCGCAGTAAAATTATTTGAAAACGGAATGAGAGCAATAACGCATTCTTGAAACATCGAATGCTTTATGTTTTCGTTTGATCCGGTTTTTGATGATCTCGTTTTTATATCAATTTTCAATATCATTTTTATGTCTAAGTGAATAGAAGAGTTTGGACACGCAACATTTTATACAGAAACTGACTTATTTTCCTCCTTCCACTGGTCCCCACGAGCCCGACGAGAGTCATTCTTCCAAAAGCTTTGCCCTGATAAATCGTGCGGAAAGGAACTTAACTGGACTACATTTGGCTTTAAAAACACAATTTCAAAGGGGAATGCTTCTTTATTAAAAGGACCCAAATAAGAGCATTTAAGTTTATACTGGTGCCAGTTGCGTGGGAATCAAGAAATAGCAGAAACAACTCATCTTTACGTGACCAGTAGGCAACAAGTCTAACCTAATTTAATGGACCGTTCCTTCACACCGAAGACATGCAGGTGTGGGGCTACCTAGTCTCAAACGAGACCGACAAAAACAACTTCAGCTTCATGAAAGTGGCCTAAACAGTCATTTTTATCAGTATTGTTCTTCAACATTGCCAGAACAATAGAAGTAGTCCACTACTAACTCGATGGATTCACATGCGTTACCTTCTACCTGTCTGCCTGTAGTCTCCACAGCCAAGACACGATGACTCTCAACACTGTTGTCCAAACATGATTATATCGTCATGTGATCCTCCAAAAATGTCTTAATCGTTTTATTTAACGTCTGTTTTTTATTTATTGTATATGTACATATAGCCTACATAGGTCTGTCTGCTGGTTGTTCTCATTTGGGGGGTATTTGTTTGTTTAGCGTATAGATTGCAAGGGTCGTTGTCATTTCAACTACTGTAGTTCAACTGTACTGTAGACATACTTGAGCATTAATGTATTTCCAACTCACACACTGTATTTATTGAGTACATTAACTTATAACATAGTGGTTCGTTAACAGCATTTCATTTAATTTGATTATTCCGAGTTTTAGACGACCAGGTTAGACATTACAATGGACCGACTTGGAAGTAAGTTATTGGAGAAGTTAAAATTGACTGACTCAGGGAGTGTGAAATTCGCCAGTTCTAAAAAGAAAAACGAGTTGTTCAACAACACCAACAATAACAGCAATGGGAACACCAGTAGTGGACTACCACCAACCCTGAACACTGCAACCTCCTCACCATCAACAAAAGGCCAGTTCTCTCTCACCTCTCCAACCTCAACGGAGGCATGCGGACCAGCCAGTGGCAGAGGTGGGAATGGACTGGGAGAGAGAGTCTCCACTACCCAGCACCTCACCCCCTCTACAAACTCCATTGCCCCCCAACCTGCTGACTGCGAACATCAACCCTACTCCCTCTCGACTCTTGCCACCCTCCGGCGGCGGTCGCCCCAGCAGCGTGCCTCCTGCTACCTGGGGGAGGGCGTTGACATCCAGATGAGGCGTGAGTCAGGCCTGGGGGACTGTGACCCTGCTGGGTCCAAGGTCTCTCTGAACCAGCGCCGCTACTCTCTGGAGCTCCAGCAGCTGGTCCGACGCCAGCAGCTCCTCTCCCAGCCTCCTCTGTCCCACTCCTCTGGCCCCCCTCCGGCGTACCCCACCTCCTCCACCTCCTCGGGCTACGGCTCCGCTCCCCGTGGCGGCACAATGGCCGAGCTGCACTACCTCCCCGAGCCGGAGCGCCACAAACGCCTCTCCCTCCAGGAGGCGCTGTTCTACAAGCGGCTGAGTACCGGAGGGGAACTCTGGGAGAGCACCAGGCCGGCCTCGCTCTCTCACCCCCCACACCGGCCCTCTGAGATGGGTGGAGGTTTCTTCTTCCCCCCAGGCCCGGCACTGAGCCCCTGCTCGTCCTTCAGTCTCCAGGAGTCGGTGCTGGTCAGTCCCAGGTCCAGCTTTGCCTCCAGTACGGCCAGCGGTGGAGGAGGGGGAAGCCCCATCAGCAGCCACTGTAGCAGCAACCGCACCAGCGGAATCAGCCTGGGCTACGACACCCGCTACTCCGCCTCCTCCGCCATGGCACCGCAGCTGCAGTTCTCCTCCCTGCACACAGGGGGCTCCACCAGCGGACAGGGATACACAGTCTCAGGCAGGGCCGGGGCACCCTCTGGGTCTGGAGGCTGGAAGGACTACCTGGACGGGGTGTCCTCACCTGGAGGAACAGGGGTTCAGGACAGCCGGCATTCGTACCCGCCTGCGGTGGGTAGCCCAGCAGCGGCCTGTTACCGGGCTGGGCCCGAGTGGTGGGATGAGAGGGGAGCAGGAGCAGCCCGAGCGGAGGAGACTGGAGTGGGCGCTGGCGGGGAACGGGCGCGCTACTCGGACCTCCCGGGGACCCGCTACCAAGAGGAACTGACGCGGCTGTTGCTAAGAGATGCAGCACTGGAGGGGGAGGGGCTACACCTGGGCGGGCTGATGCTCAAAGAACATGCCAATCCTCCAATCAAGGCCCTCAGCAAGCCGGCGATGCTCATCAGCACAGCTACGGCTGCCGGACCAATCAAAGCCCAGGAGGAGCCAGGAACGGGGAGGGAGGTGTCGTCTGAGAATCGCCAGGAGTTCTTTGGTGAGATCATCAAACACTTCATCATCTTCATCACTTTGTTTTGTTACTGTTGCACGCATGTCCAATGTTTAGATAGATGAATGGATAGACGGATTTGATAGATGAAAGAGAGAAAGATGAATGAATGGTGCCTCGACACCTGCAGGGACTTGCATGACCTACCTACCGACATACCTACCACACAAGCAAAGGAAAAGAAAAACATTTGGCCGTCAGTGGGCTAGCTAAGGCCTATCCAGACAAGTAGAGCTGCTAGGTTAGCCACATCAGACAGAAAGGAGAAGAGGGATGCAGAGATAAATTGATGAGCAATTATCATAGTTGACATGCAAAAATACACACATCAAAGACTGCCTGTGCAACAGTCACTCAGCCATAATGTAACACAGTAAATCACATTAGGAGACTCTTGGTGTACAACGTTTTTTTTTAGGTAGAGTTAAGCACAGACATTGTACCATAGAGTAAGGGTTCTCAAAGTGGGGACCGCGGTTCTGCAGGGGGTCTGAGGCCAGAGAAAAAAATATATACATTTCATATTTTATGAATATTACTAACAACAACAGATTAAATTAAATTTGGTCAAGGGATCCGTGGAATAAGTTTAGTGTAATACAATAATACAATCTAATATTGTTAACCCTGGGCAATACATGAGCCTGGGAGGCTCACAGGGATATTGGTATCCACAGTACTCTACAAATTATCCATACTTCCAATGCACTGTAATTTACATTTTGTAATGCACATTTTTCTCTCTGACAAAAATGTGTACAATTGCAGGAAATTAGCTTTAAAACTGCAAAATTCTCTCAGATCCCAAAAGACGGGCCTTTAAAATGCTCCTTCTCAGGGCCTGAGACTTGGTTCATCCAGCCAAACACTCCCAAAGTCATAGTAAAACTCCATGTGTGCTATTTTAATCTCACTGGAGTTGTTCTGATTATGAGGGGTTCCCTGATGAATTTGCCATCACAAAAGGGGTCCCCAAAAAGTTTGAGAACCCCTCCCATAGAGGGCAGAGGAAGCATAGCTATACATAAACACTGAACTGCAAAGCTTAGTTCTGCTGCAATGTTCAGACAAATTACATGTTAGCGATAAACACAGCACTGACCATTAGTATGAGTCATAAAGAAGATTACAGCTTTGGACTGGCAGTATGTGTGGTGTGGCAGGGTGTGCGTGTTCGGAGTGACTCCAGGCCATTTTAATATGCAGTGTGTGGGACACGAGTCATGCGTGTGCTGGTGTGTTACCCTGGCTTGGCGTGTGCAGGGGAGGTGTGCTGTAGCCAGTTTTTCTGCTCCCGTATGCGAGCCCTCGGGGGATGTGAACTGTACCGCCTCCTCTTCTCACTGTGGCAGCTCAGCTAGGCTCAGAGCTGTTAACAGTACAAAGGCCCTAATTGGAGCTCAGACCAAGAGGGTGAAAAGAGGGTGTTTTAAGAAGGGCCAGGAGTTGTTCCCTAGTCAGGTGATCAGGAAAAACTCCAGGCCCTAATTATGTGTTAGTGCCAGGGGGTTTTGTAGAAAAATTAACCTGACCAGGGAAAAACCTACCAGGCCTAATTTTGAGCGTTGACTTTGTGTCTGGCTTGAAGTATCTTGTTGGTTTCAAGTTTTATTAGTCGTAAGTACGGGATACACATGGTATACACCGTCCAACGAAATGCTTACTAGCAGGTTCCTTCTCGACAATTCAACAACAATAATAATAATAAAATATACAAATATGAACAAAGTAAATGGCTCAGTAGAATAGAATCAACATTTTAGCATAAGTATAGTAATGTAAAGAGTGATGTCTGACTAAGGCCAAGACATTTTCTTGATGAGGTGACTTCACCAGGAAAGAATCTTGGCCCATGTCTTGTTGAGTAATGGTTGTTCATTGTGTTATGTTGATTGTGTTGCAGGTACATTTGTGACGTGTAGTAATGGTTGTTTATTGTGTTGCAGGTACATGTGTGAAGTGTGGGAAAGGTGTTTATGGAGCGGATAATGCTTGCCAGGCTCTGGACAGCCTCTATCACACACGCTGCTTCACCTGTGTGTCCTGTGGTGAGTTGAACACACACCTCTAGTTAACTGGCTGATTGAACAACAGCTGAATGGTTAAAACTGATAGTTCACCCAAATTACCAAATTACATTTTGGTTTCCTTACCATGTAAGCAGTCTATGGACAAGGTATGACAGCAATTCATGCTTTGGTTTAGTTTCCCGTGCACTGTTTCCACATGCTAACGTTTTAGCTTTTGTGGCAATAATCCCATTCAAGTCATCCACAAGTATCTCATTGATTGAGAAGCACAACAAAGTCACTTAAAGATGATTTGAACATGATGCGCGAAAAATGCTAACATCGGTCCCATGACTTGAATGGGAATGGTGCCACAAATGCTAAAATGTTAGCATGTGGAAACTAAACCAATGCATGGATTGCTGTCATACCTTATCCATAGACTGCTTACAGGGTAAGGAAACCAATGTCATTTTGTAATTTGGGTGAACTTTCCCTTTAACTCATAGCGGATATGAAGCATTCCAAGCCAACTACATCATGATATAGTCAGTTTGAACAATCATGCCACTCCATGAATGTGTTCGCACTTAATGACACACTGATTTATTTTTATGTGATTGAGTACCGTTTTAAATATCAGTAATATCACAGAGGACACAGTACATAGTCAAAGCAAGGAAAACATCTGGGTAAGCCTGGCCTCCCTCGGTTCCTGTGCTGTCATTCATGTGTCCCTCTCTGTCAGGTCGCACCCTGAGAAACAAGGATTTCTACAACGTCAATGGCTCTGTGTACTGTAAAGAGGATTACATGGTAAGAGGGCAAGGCCAAAGATTCTCTCTCTCTTTCAGTTCCATTCCTAGATATCAGTGCATTACATTTCTAAACAATGGCCTCCTAGATATTACAGTAAATTGCATTAAAGTTTTAAATAGTACTTTTCTATGGTATGATATCAAATCATGTCTCAAATGTTCTCTCCATACTTGTCTCAGTTCTCAGGGTTCCAGGCTGCAGCAGAGAAATGCAGTGTGTGTGGCCACCTTATCCTGGAACAGGTGTGTGTGTCAGCGACCCCTAAAATTCAAGCCCATATACAGTGGGGGAAAAAAGTATTTAGTCAGCCACCAATTGTGCAAGTTCTCCCACTTAAAAAGATGAGAGAGACCTGTAATTTTCATCATAGGTACACGTCAACTTTGACAGACAAAATGAGAAAAAATTATCCAGAAAATCACATTGTAGGATTTTTTATGAATTTATTTGCAAATTATGGTGGAAAATAAGTATTTGGTCAATAACAAAAGTTTCTCAATACTTTGTTATATACCCTTTGTTGGCAATGACACAGGTCAAACGTTCTCTGTAAGTCTTCACAAGGTTTTCACACACTGTTGCTGGTATTTTGTCCCATTCCTCCATGCAGATCTCCTCTAGAGCAGTGATGTTTTGGGGCTGTCGCTGGGCAACACGGACTTTCAACTCCCTCCAAAGATTTTCTATGGGGTTGAAATCTGGAGACTGGCTAGGCCACTCCAGGACCTTGAAATGCTTCTTACGAAGCCACTCCTTCGTTGCCCGGGCGGTGTGTTTGGGATCATTGTCATGCTGAAAGACCCAGCCACGTTTCATCTTCAATGCCCTTGCTGATGGAAGGAGGTTTTCACTCAAAATCTCACGATACATGGCCCCATTCATTCTTTCCTTTACACGGATTAGTCGTCCTGGTCCCTTTGCAGAAAAACAGCCCCAAAGCATGATGTTTCCACCCCCATGCTTCACAATAGGTATGGTGTTCTTTGGATGCAACTCAGCATTCTTTGTCCTCCAAACACGACGAGTTGAGTTTTTACCAAAAAGTTATATTTTGGTTTCATCTGACATTCTCCTAATCCTCTTCTGGATCATCCAAATGCACTCTAGCAAACTTCAGACGGGCCTGGACATGTACTGGCTTAAGCAGGGGGACACGTCTGGCACTGCAGGATTTGAGTCCCTGGCGGCGTAGTGTGTTACTGATGGTAGGCTTTGTTACTTTGGTCCCAGCTCTCTGCAGGTCATTCACTAGGTCCCCCCGTGTGGTTCTGGGATTTTTGCTCACCGTTCTTGTGATCATTTTGACCCCACGGGGTGAGATCTTGCGTGGAGCCCCAGATCGAGGGAGATTATCAGTGGTCTTGTATGTCTTCCATTTCCTAATAATTGCTCCCACAGTTGATTTCTTCAAACCAAGCTGCTTACCTATTGCAGATTCAGTCTTCCCAGCCTGGTGCAGGTCTACAATTTTGTTTCTGGTGTCCTTTGACAGCTCTTTGGTCTTGGCCATAGTGGAGTTTGGAGTGTGACTGTTTGAGGTTGTGGACAGGTGTCTTTTATACTGATAACAAGTTCAAACAGGTGCCATTAATACAGGTAACTAGTGGAGGACAGAGGAGCCTCTTAAAGAAGAAGTTACAGGTCTGTGAGAGCCAGAAATCTTGCTTGTTTGTAGGTGACCAAATACTTATTTTCCACCATAATTTGCAAATAAATTCATTAAAAATCCTACAATGTGATTTTCTGGATTTTTTTTGTCAATTTGTCTGTCATAGTTGACGTGTACCTATGATGAAAATTACAGGCCTCTCTCATCTTTTTAAGTGGGAGAACTTGCACAATTGGTGGCTGACTAAATACTTTTTTTCCCCACTGTATTTCTGACCATGACCATAAAAAATGAAAATGTTTCTGACCATGACCACATTTTCTAACCTTGTTTTCAAAAATCCTTTCTTCACATTTCGCCACCTGTTTTGTCCATCAGATCCTCCAGGCAATGGGGAACTCGTACCACCCCGGTTGTTTCCGCTGTGTGGTGTGTTCCAAAGCCCTGGACGGAGTTCCCTTCACTGTCGACCACCTCAGCAACATCTACTGTGTCTCGGACTACAACAGGTGAGGCCGGGTGTCTTCAGTAGGTCAAACTGAGGCGTTAATATACAGATGGGGTCAACAGTAATTACATTCTCAAGCTGTTTAAGGTCAGAATATAATACTCCGTTTATCACAGTTTGTTAGGTTTGTACATTAGTAGTACACTATATTACTAGGTCTACATGTGGTTATAATCTGCAATTGGACCTCTTGTTGTCCCGCAGAACGTTCGCTCCTAAATGTGCTGCCTGCTTACAACCCATCTTACCTGCTGAGGTGAGTGTCTCTTGTTGTTTCATTCAATGTGTTTTTTGTTGTTCATCATGCAGTTAGACATATATGCATGCCAACTACACTATATATACAAAATTATGTGGACACCCCTTCAAATTAGTGGATTCGGCTATTTCAGCCTCACCCGCTGCTGACAGGTGTATAAAACCGAGCACACAGTCATGCAATCTCCATAGACAAACATTGGTAGTAGAATGGCCTTACTGAAGAGCTCAGTGACTTTCAACATGGCACCGTCATAGGATGCCACCTTTCCAACAAGTCAAATTTCTGCCCTGCTAGAGCTTCCCAGTCAACTGTAAGTGCTGTTATTGTGAAGTGGAAACGTCTAGGAGCAACAATGGCTCAGCCGCAAAGTGGTAGGCGACACAAGCTCTCAGAACGAGACTGCCGAGTGATGAAGCGCGTAAAAATAATCTGTCCTCGGTTGCAACACTTCCAAACTGCCTCTGGAAACAACGTCAGCACAATAACTGTTCATTGGGAGCTTCATGAAATGGGTTTCCATGGCTGAGCAGCCGCACACAAGACTAAGATCACCATGCACAATGCCAAGCGATGGCTGGAGTGGTGTAAAGCTCGCCGCCATTGGACTCTGGAGCAGTGGAAATGCGTTTTCTGGAGTGATGAATCACCATCTGGCAGTCCGTCGGACGAATCTGGGTTTGGTGTATGCCAGGACAACGCTACCTGCCCCAATACATAGTGCCAACTGTAAAGTTTGGTGGAGGAGGAATAATGGTCTGGGGCTGTTTTCCATGGTTCAGGCTAGGCCCCTTAGTTCCAGTGAAGGGAAATCTTAACGCTACAGCATACAATGACATTCTAGACGATTCTGTGCATCCAACTTTGTGTCAACAGTTTGAGGAAGACCCTTTCCTGTTTCAGCATGATAATGCCCCCATGCACAAAGCGAGGTCCATAAAGAAATGGTTTGCTGAGATCGGTGTGGAAGAACTTGACTGGCCTGCACAGAGCCCTGACCTCAACCCCATCGAAAATCTTTGGGATGAATTGGAGCACTGACTGAGTCAGGCCTAATCGCCCAACATCAGTGCCCGACCTCACTAACGCTTGTGGCTGAATGGAAGCAAGTCCCCGCAGCAATGTTCCAACATCTAGTGGAAAGCCTTCTCAGAAGAGTGGAGGCTGTTATAGCAGCAAACGGGGGACCAACTCCATACTAATGCCCATGATTTTGGAATGAGATGTTCAACGAGCACGTGTCAACATACTTTTGGCCATGTAGTGTATGTGATTGTGACGCACTAATTTCACCACTGCTGTTGTGTGTTACAGGGCAGCGAGGAGATACTCAGGGTGATGTCTATGAACAACGATTATCACTTTGAGTGCTATCACTGTGAGGTTAGTATGGCCTTCATCTACGTAATGTGGTCAGTCCTACCAGTGTTAAGTGAGAGTGAGCAGGCTTTTGTTCCAGCTCAGCAGTAACACACCCGATTCAACTAATCTAGGGCTTCATAGTTTAATCAGGTGTGATAACTGTACTGGAATAAAACCCTGAACATCCTGTGAGTCGCCGGGACTAGGGTTGAAGAACACTGACCATAGTAGTGTACTTTTACTGTATGTACTTTATGAAGAATTATACCTGAACTCAGATCAGAAGTAATTTTCTCTCTCTATGTCTGTTTCATTCCTCAGGAATGTGGGAAGCAGCTCTCGGATCAGCAGGGCTCCCAGTGCTTCCCTTTGGACTCTCATCTCCTCTGCCACTCATGTCACATGACCTGGGTGTGTGCCTCAGAACATTTCCCCTCACAACACAATTGAGGAAGGAACTCTATGCATAAAACATTCCCTTTCTTTCAACATTCTCTTTTCTTTTTCACACTCATACAAACTCTTTCTTTCTCCCTATTGCACACCAAGATAATATGGGTTTGCTCTGATGTTCGAATTTCCTTCTACTCAAGAGACAAGCTCACACATGAAAATACTGGTATAAGATGTATCATATTTACGGTTTTGTTGCAGTGTTTGACAAGATGGCACCAATGTCTTAGATCCAGGGTTGGGTAGGTTACTTTCTAAATGTAATCCGTTAGTAACTAGTTACCTGTCAAATTGTAATCAGTAACAACTTTTGGATTACCCAAACTCAGTAATGTCATCAGATTAGTTTCAGTTACTTTTAGATTACTTTCCCGTTTTGGTAAAAAGCTGAGGGATGGGCCTGGAGAAATGTAACCACTAAGATTAATAGACAGAGCCATAGATGCAAGGACTGACAATTCTCCAATGTTTGTACATATAAAAAAATACCCATGTTTTGAGGCTAGTGTTTGTAAATAATGTTTACAAACATTGGAGAAAAACAAGCTTACAGTATTTTGGGTTATCATGGGGTGTGATAGTTAAACTAAGCACATGAGGCATTTATAAGTTATATTCTTAAAGAATCAATGGGTATATACAGTATCATTAATTTATAAGTCAAAAAATGGGAGGTAGCAACTACAGATTGACCCTTTAAGTGTATCAAAGTGAGCGAGTCCGTTAGGCCTATGGATTTGTTTTTAATCAGCACAAATTAGATTGAGCAATAAAAGCCCTAATCGTGTCCTTAAATTAAAACTCGTTTTCGACAGTATTGAGCACAATACCACAGAGGAGTATAGAAGGTAAGAACTCCTTCAAACTTGTATTCCATAGGCTGGAATCAAATCAAATGTTATTTGCCACATGCGCCGAATACAACAGATGTAGACCTTTACAGTGAAATGCTTACTTACAAGCCCTTAACCAACAATGCAGTTAAGAAAATAAAGTGTTAAGTAAAAAATAGATCTGCAGCATGAGCTCATTTTTCACTGGCTAGCCACTGGTTGCATAAACAACCATTGATACTTTTTCAATTAAATCATTATTGGGTTAAAATACACATACATTTGAACAGCCATCGACAACAACCACAATCCGTACGACGCAAATAGCTAAATGAGAGAGCTGCAGTGTAGGCTACACCACTGCTGTCGTCCTTATCGCCAAGCATTTATTCAAGTTGGATAATCTTTGGATGCCGACAGCAGTCTCAACATTGGACTGTAGCCTACAAAAGCCAATTCCTTCGCTTTTCCCGCGAGCCATCAAACATTTGGTGCGTCAACATAGTGACCATTGACTTGTCAGACTCGCTTAGGCGGATGAAATTTAAACTTGCGCCTTCTTTCAATGCTGATTTGAATGTCATTGAGAAAACAAATGTGTCAAATATTTTTTTTACGCAAACATCCTTTCTGAATTTAAAAAGGATGCCTAGAAGTAATAATCTTGCTGGTAACGTAACGGGATTCGTTTTTGTAATCCGTTACACCCCAACCCTGTTTAGATCAGACCCCTGTATGTATATGACCTGGGGTTCATTAAGACACACACGTTTGGTGAAAGATGAAAATAAGTATTTATTTTTGGACAAGTTGAGCATTTTCTCCAGTTGTGTGCCTACTGAACACCACCCATGTGCGACAAAATGAGTCCTGCTGTTCCACAGACCATCACTGTACCAGAGTGGGAGAAGAATATAGCCGGGTCAAAGGTCAGTTTGTGCGGTGTTGTCAACTCCTATGGTCATTGTCACGCCATTGTTTGGCAGATCTGGGACCAGGCTAAGATGAATACACCATCCTATGGTTCTCTTGACCACCCGACCCACCGTGCGTCTACTGCGTGCTATAGAAGAACAAGGGATTTATTGATCGATCTGGTTAACCTGTTTTTGTATTTAACTATCACTAGCAAACAATTTGCACTTAAACTTTGACTTGTTTACCGTAAGAGATTTTGTAAGTGTTTCTTCTTGTAAAAGTTTTTAAAACATTCCTGAATCGGTTGTAATTAATAAATATTTTCCTTTTTGTGTGTTCAACTTTTGAGAGATCTTTATTGCAGTTACAATCTGTGGCCCGAAGGTGGCAATCAAACCTAGTATTCAGGATATCATGCTTGCGTGCAGGACTATATATATATACAGTGGGGGGAAAAAGTATTTAGTCAGCCACCAATTGTGCAAGTTCTCCCACTGAAAAAGATGAGAGGCCTGTAATTTTCATCATAGGTACACGTCAACTATGACAGACAAAATGAGAAAAAAAATCCAGAAAATCACATTGTAGGATTTTTAATGAATTTATTTGCAAATTATGGTGGAAAATAAGTATTTGGTCACCTACAAACAAGCAAGATTTCTGGCTCTCACAGACCTGTTACTTCTTCTTTAAGAGGCTGCTCTGTCCTCCACTCGTTACCTGTATTAATGGCACCTGTTTGAACTTGTTATCAGTATAAAAGACACCTATCCACAACCTCAAACAGTCACACTCCAAACTCCACTATGGCCAAGACCAAAGAGCTGTCAAAGGACACCAGAAACAAAATTGTAGACCTGCACCAGGCTGGGAAGACTGAATCTGCAATAGGTAAGCAGCTTTGTTTGAAGAAATCAACTGTGGGAGCAATTATTAGGAAATTGATAATCTCCCTCGATCTGGGGCTCCACGCAAGATCTCACCCCGTGGGGTCAAAATGATCAAAAGAACGGTGAGCAAAAATCCCAGAACCACACGGGGGACCTAGTGAATGACCTGCAGAGAGCTGGGACCAAATTAACAAAGCCTACCATCAATAACACACTACGACGCCAGGGACTCAAATCCTGCAGTGCCAGACGTGTCCCCCTGCTTAAGCCAGTACATGTCCAGGCCCGTCTGAAGTTTGCTAGAGTGCATTTGGATGATCCAGAAGAGGATTGGGAGAATGTCATATGGTCAGATGAAACCAAAATAGAACTTTTTGGTAAAAACTCAACTCGTCGTGTTTGGAGGACAAAGAATGCTGAGTTGCATCCAAAGAACACCATACCTACTGTGAAGCATGGGGGTGGAAACATCATGCTTTGGGGCTGTTTTTCTGCAAAGGGACCAGGACGACTGATCCGTGTAAAGGAAAGAATGAATGGGGCCATGTATCGTGAGATTTTGAGTGAAAACCTCCTTCCATCAGCAAGGGCATTGAAGATGAAACGTGGCTGGGTCTTTCAGCATGACAATGATCCCAAACACACCGCATAGGCAAAGAAGGAGTGGCTTCGTAAGAAGCATTTCAAGGTCCTGGAGTGGCCTAGCCAGTCTCCAGATCTAAACCCCATAGAAAATCTTTGGAGGGAGTTGAAAGTCCGTGTTGCCCAGCGACAGCCCCAAAACATCACTGCTCTAGAGGAGATCTGCATGGAGGAATGGGCCAAAATACCAGCAACAGTGTGTGAAAACTTTGTGAAGACTTACAGAAAACGTTTGACCTGTGTCATTGCCAACAAAGTATTGAGAAACTTTTGTTATTGACCAAATAATTATTTTCCACCATAATTTGCAAATAAATTCATTAACAATCCTACAATGTGATTTTCTGGATATTTTTTTCTCATTTTGTCTGTCATAGTTGACGTGTACCTATGATGAAAATTACAGGCCTCTCTCATCTTTTTAAGTGGGAGAACTTGCACAATTGGTGGCTAAATACTTTTTTCCCCCACTGTATGTATGTATGTATGTATGTATGTATGTATGTATGTATGTATGTATGTATGTATATATATATACATACATATACACTGCTCAAAAAAATAAAGGGAACACTTAAACAACACAATGTAACTCCAAGTCAATCACACTTCTGTGAAATCAAACTGTCCACTTAGGAAGCAACACTGATAGACAATACATTTCACATGCTGTTGTGCAAATGGAATAGACAACACGTGGAAATTATAGGCAATTAGCAAGACACCCCCAATAAAGGACTGGTTTTGCAGGTGGTGACCACAGACCACTTCTCAGTTCCTATGCTTCCTGGCTGATGTTTTGGTCACTTTTGAATGCTGGTGGTGCTTTCACTCTAGTGGTAGCATGCGACGGAGTCTACAACCCACACAAGTGGCTCAGGTAGTGCAGCTCATCCAGGATGGCACATCAATGCGAGCTGTGGCAAGAAGGTTTGCTGTGTCTGTCAGCGTAGTGTCCAGAGCATGGAGGCGCTACCAGGAGACAGGCCAGTACATCAGGAGACGTGGAGGAGGCCGTAGGAGGGCAACAACCCAGCAGCAGGACTACTACCTCCGCCTTTGTGCAAGGAGGAGCAGGAGGAGCACTGCCAGAGCCCTGCAAAATGACCTCCAGCAGGCCACAAATGTGCATGTGTCTGCTCAAACGGTCAGAAACAGACTCCATGAGGGTGGTATGAGGGCCTGACGTCCACAGGTGGGGGTTGTGCTTACAGCCCAACACCGTGCAGGACGTTTGGCATTTGCCAGAGAACACCAAGCTTGGCAAATTCCCAACTGGCGCCCTGTGCTCTTCACAGATGAAAGCAGGTTCACACTGAGCACGTGACAGAAGTCACAGAGTCTGGAGAAGACGTGGAGAAAGTTCTGCTGCCTGCAACATCCTCCAGCATGACCGGTTTGGCGGTGGGTCAGTCATGGTGTGGGGTGGCATTTCTTTGGGGGGCCATGTGCTCGCCAGAGGTAGCCTGACTGCCATTAGGTACCGAGATGAGATCCTCAGACCCCTTGTGAGACCATATGCTGGTGCGGTTGGCCCTGGGTTCCTCCTAATGCAAGACATTGCTAGACCTCATGTGGCTGGAGTGTGTCAGCAGTTCCTGCAAGAGGAAGGCATTGATGCTATGGACTGGCCCGCCCGTTCCCCAGACCTGAATCCAATTGAGCACATCTGGGACATCATGTCTCGCTCCATCCACCAACGCCACGTTGCACCACAGACTATCCAGGGGTTGGCGGATGCTTTAGTCCAGGTCTGGGAGGAGATCCCTCAGGAGACCATCCGCCACCTCATCAGGAGCATGCCCAGGCGTTGTAGGGAGGTCATACAGGCACGTGGAGGCCACACACACTACTGAGCCTCATTTTGACTTGTTTTAAGGACATTACATCAAAGTTGGATCAGCCTGTAGTGTGGTTTTCCACTTTAATTTTGAGTGTGACTCCAAATCTAGACCTCCATGGGTTGATACATTTGATTTCCATTGATAATTTTTGTGTGATTTTGTTGTCAGTACATTCAACTATGTAAAGAAAAAAGTATTTAATAAAATTATTTCATTCATTCAGATCTAGGATGTGTTATTTTAGTGTTCCCTTTATTTTTTTGAGCAGTGTATATATATATATATATATATATATATATATATATATATATATATATATATATATACACACACACATATATATACACATACATACATACACATACAAAAGTAGGTGGACACCACTTCAAAATTAGTAGAGTCGGCTATTTCAGCCACACTCGTTGCTGACAGGTGTATAAAATCGAGCACACAGCCATGCAATCTTCAGACAAACATTGTCAGTAGAATGGCCTTACTGAAGAGCTCAGTGACTTTCAACGTGGCACTGTCATAGGATGCCACCTTTCCAACAAGTCAGTTAGTCAAATTTCTGCCCTGCTAGAGCTGCCCCGGTCAACTTTAAGTGCTGTTATTGTGAAGTGGAAACGTCTAGGAGCAAAGTGGTAGGCCACACAAGCTCACAGAACAGGACCATGTAAAAATCGTCTGTCCTCGGTTGCAAGACTCACTACAGAGTTCCAAACTGCCTCTGGAAGCAACATCAGCACAAGAACTGTTAGTCGGGAGCTTCATGAAATGGGATCCCATGGACGAGCAGCCGCAGACAAGCCTAAGATCACCATCCGCAATGCCAAGCTTTGGCTGGAGTGGTGTAAAGCTCGCCACCATTGGACTCTGGAGCAGTGGAAACACGTTCTCTGGTGTGATGAATCACGCTTCACCATCTGGCAGTTCCACGGACAAATCTGGGTTGGGCGGATCCAGGAGAACGCTACCTGCCCCAATGCATAGTGCCAACTGTAAAGTTTGGTAGAGGTGAAATAATGGTCTGGGGCTGTTTTTCATGGTTCGGGCTAGGCCCCTTAGTTCCAGTGAAGGGAAATCTTAACACTACAGCATACAATGACATTGTAGACAATTCTGTGCTTCCAACTTTGTGGCAACAGTTCAGGGAAGGCCCTTTCCTGTTTCAGCATGACAAGGAAATAACTTGACTGGCCTGCACAGAGCCCTGACCTCAACTCCATCGAACACCTTTGGGATGAATTGGAACGGTGACTGCGAGCCAGGCCTAATCGCCCAACATCAGTGGCCGACCCAACTAATGCTCATGGCTGAATGGAAGCAAGTCCCCGCAGCAATGTTCCAACATCTAGTGGAAAGCCTTCCCAGAAGAGTGGAGCAGCAAAGAGAGGACCAACTCCATATTAATGCCCATGAGTTTGAAATGAGATGTTCGACACGCAGGTGTCCACATACTTTTGGTCATGTAGTGTATATCATATATTTACTCATCTCCTGAATAAGTACTTGTTGAATCAACAGTCTACTGGGAACGTGATCAACATTACAAAATGTGACTTGAGATACTATACTAAAGAATGTGCTAACACAACATTTAAACTTTTACATTTATTTTTAATTCTTTGTACATTCAGCACTTACAGGAGGAAAAAAAAGAGAGCCAAATAAGAATCTGTTTCAAACAAATTTAAAACAATATTAAAACAGTAATAATCTAAGTTTTAAACCCAACCCATGTCTGATTTAATGTAAAAAAAAAGAACTGGGAGGGTCTGAGCAAATAAGAGGGAAGAGAGCAAAAATGGGACAGTTTCACGTCGTGCCCCACAGATTCTCAGTGCGTTGGGTTCCCCCTCCCCACCCAAACAACCTATAAAAGAACAGTATACATGCCAAGTGTGCGTCAATGAAATCAGTCCCCCTCCCCTCCCCACCCCACACAAACATTTCCCTACCCCTCTGACAAGGCAAAAAGACAGTTTCCTAATTTTCTTAAACATATGGTGCTTTCAGTGTAATGACACATTACCAACTTTAACCTTAGTGTGTGGCGAGAGGGAGAGCAGAGCACCACCACACCACACACACACTATAACACACAAAAACCATCCAAGGCTGAGATTTACATGATTCATCATAATAAAACGTCAAAGCAGAAAAAAATAACCTTCACATGACCTTACTAAGGGCCTTGGTACTGGTCCTAGAAAAAATAACTTCACTGGATTTTGGAATACTAAAATTGACTCTAGAACACATTTGGGGGTTGGTAAGCTGGGCTGCTATTTTTAAATGGATTATTACAGAGAACAGTCTTATTACTGTGTGGCTGAAGAGATTGGTGGAACAAGACTCCGTTCCAAGCCTTGAGGCAAACCTCCACCCTTTCTTTCCATTTCTGGTTAAAATGCATGAGAATTTACAGAGCTCAGAATAGGCCTCTGGACTGCTTCGTATGAGGAGCTTCAGACAGTTGAGACCGCTATATGAGGAAGAGGGAGAGCGATTGCATCTGAAATGTCACTGTATCTATTCCCTATAGAGGAAATAGGGTGCCATTTTGGAGGCAGCCATTTTTCGCTTCACTATCAACATGTGACTAAAGTCTATACATGTAGATGTTTATGAACATGTGAGAGAGATGGCATTACTGCGTGAGGATCTGGGGTTTTCTAAATAGGAGTCTCCCTGGCCCAAAGGACAGGATAGCCAGTGAGGAGGAACAGACTGTTACCCTGAAGACTATGGAAGTGGTTTAAAGGTAAAAGAGGGGGACTAGAGCTCTCTCTCAGTGCCTAATTCAATTGTGTGTTGAATTAGGGACTGCATCCACCCCTAACACTCTGTCAAACTGAACACTCAACGGCGTTTGTCTCGGGGGTTGCTACGGCTACGGGAGCGTCGGAACCCTGAAGAGGGTTTAGTATCAGGACCTCTGGGTCTGAAACCACCACTGTCCCTCCTCTTATCCCCCTCTCTGTCCCTCCCTCGCTCCCTCTCTCTGTCCCGGTCTCCCTCAGATCCCCGGACACTCACACTTCCAGTGCTTACCGCAGCTCCTCCCTCCTTCTCTCTGCTTTTAATTCTCTCCTTTCTCTCCTCCTCTCGCTTCTTGTCCTCCTCCTCCAGCTGTTCTTTCCGCCTCCTCTCTCGTTCTTTCTGTCGCTCTTCCCGTTCTTTTCCCCTCTGGTTTGCCTGGGGATACCAACAACAGTAATCAATGACAAAACACACTCCTATCAAGTTGTTGCATTAGGATGAAGTGTTTGTGTCTTACCTGTTCTTCAGTGAGGGGGAGCCAGTATATACAGGGAGCTGCTTTGGTCTTATTGAAGAGGTCGTCTAGTAATTTGGCAGGAGGCTCGTCTGTTGGAATGGATGAAAATAGAGGAGAGAGAGAGAAAGACAGTGAGTTAACATCGTAATAGCTATAGGTTACAAACAGCTTAGATATTAAAACATGTATATGGAGGACAAAAGCAGCTTCTGCGAGGCTTAGGAAAGACTCCATCTCCTCTCACCCTTTTTGTCGGTCTTCTTCTCCTTCCCGTCCCTCTCCTTCCGCCTCCTCTCTCTATCCAGGGAGCGAGATCTCCTCCCTCTCTCCCTCTCCTCTCCTGGTTTGCCTCCGAAGTCTCGAACCTTGTCCCGGTCCCACTCACGTTCCGCCCTGGTTCTCTCCCGGCGTTCCATCTCCCTCTCTCTCTCCGCCCACTGGTCCCGCACCCCTCCGACCACGGCGCGGTCCCCGCGCCCGTCCATCAGAGGGGGCAGCGCGCCCGGTCGGACTTTGGGACCTCCAGGACCCACACCAGGCTGGGGGCGGTGCTCCTCTCTGGGGTCCACTGTCAGCAGGCCTCTGTGGAAGTCCAGCTAGAGAAGGGAGAGAACGAGGGGAAGAAAGGATGAATGAGAGGGAAAAAAACATTTCCCTTGGATTGATAAGAGAGGAAGGGCGTGGTTCAATTTGTGTTAAATAATATAATTTACACGTTGTCTGCACATCAAGCGCCAGCTATTTCTTCCCCCAAGTTAGTTTATGTAGATACCCATTAGTACATCAGGGCTAATATTCCTATGTTCCTAGTGTTTACTAGTACTAGTCCAGTTGTTCCCTGTTGGGTGTGAGAGGGTAGAACAGAATCACCTCGTTCTGCTCACAGAAGTCCACACTGAGGACCTTAGGGTTGCTTTGGGGCCACTTCACCCCGTGGAGAGCAGCTCGCGTGGCCACAGCCTCCTCTGTGCTGGAGTACTGGGAGAAGAGAGAGAGAGAGACAGGTCAACAAAGAACAATGACCAGTTCTTCGAAAAACAACAGTGTGATGTGCGTGGACTTTCAAAGCCATCAGTTTCTCTAGTCCCTAGGCTCAATTAAGTAAATACGGAATTAATTATCTGACAGACTTGAGACTGACAGACGATGATAGTGAAAGATAAACTGGTATGAGAGAGACAATGACAGTTACTCACAGTGACGTAGCAGTGAGACTTGATCTTATCGATCCAGAAGCCATCCTCTGCCACTGAGCCTGTCCTGTTCAGTAGCTCCTTCAGCTGGCCCAGGGTGAAAGGTCGCACCTAATGGACAGGAGAGAGGTCATAGGTCAATCAGGGCCAAATGTCACTCAGTTCATGATGTTGATTCAAGGTAGAAGTTGCCCTTTTGCAGATCTAGGATCTGTTTATCATAACCTTAACCATTAGGGAAGAACATTTTAAAAACTGATCCGTGATTAAGAGCAACCATTTCCCAAGATCTACTTTTATGTATGTTATACACTCAAATGAGTGGGTTAAAGACACTGCTCTGAACTCACCAGGTTACATACGTGGACGATGTTGGAGACTTTGCCTCTGGGCGGAGAGGGCTGTTTGGCGGTGCGGACCGGGTCGTCGATGGTAACAGACACACCTGACTTCTGCTGACTGATGGAGCGACGCACCAGAGTATCACTGGGAATGACTGAGAGAGAGATAGATTTAAAGAGAAGGGGAAAAATAAGGGGCAAGGAGCAGGAAGAAAAAGTGGTTAGAAAGAATTGTCATATTAGCCTGAGGCTTGGGAGATGGTGTTACACTTCAGAACTGTTGTGCGGCTAGTTACCTTTCTTAGCGTCGGCGTCGTGAGTAGTGGAGGACTGAGACTCCATGGTGTCTTCTGAGTTGCTGTTCTTCCTCTTCTCTTTCTGTGTCCTCCCTCTGTCACGCTCCGGTTTCTCCTCCTCCTCCTCCTCCTCCTCTCGTTCTCCCTGGCCATTCTCCGGGTTTTCACCTGGGACCACCTATGAATGGAGAAGAGACAACTTAATCACTATTTAGCGCAAGTGAATAAGAATAAATGTTTGGTCGTCGATAAAAAGAAAACTGCCTCCGTCCTCACACGCAACTCTTTCACGTTGCTCGTTCCGTGGGTAAGCGAATGCTCCTACCACTGTCTCTCCCAAGCATTCTTCGACCAGTGTTTAGGCTTACTGCCCCGCATACTGCTTGTATCAACTGCACTAACTTGCGAGTTCGTGATCTCCCGCTCGTTTAGTAAAGTGCAGCCAGGATCCATACAGTGAGTAAGTCCTCCGCCTTCTCTCTGTTTATCGTACTGGTGCATGTGTGATCAAGTCTCTGTTGCCTGTGTTCATTTGCCATTTCACTGGCAGTGCTTGTTTTTGGGAGGCTGGGTGTGGGTTGTGTTTGCGAACTCATTTTATGTCACAACAAGCTTGGGGCATGGCTTATGCTAGACAGAAAAATGCTGCAAAGGTCAATGCGGAAGAGGAATATGTATCAAGCACTACACTTCATGAACTACTCGATCAACAAAAATAGTTCTATAAAGATCTAATAGATCTGTAAGGATTTCGCAATTTTTCAAACACTTGACAAGCACTCTTCCAAAGGAGACTACCTCGAAAACCAATCGAGGCGCAATAACATTTTAAATCGATGTAATTGAGGACGTAAAGACTGAAACTTGGTATGACACAGAAGTCGAGGCCATGAAACTCCAGGCAGATCAACTCAAACTGGACCCTAAACTCATGGAGATAGAGAGGGCATAGGAATGGCCCTTTCTTTCCCGTTGGACTGCCCAGATCTATAGTGAAGAAACTGCTCAGGTTCAAAGACAAGGAGATTCTCAGGAGTGCCAAGTGCCTGAAGGGAACCAAAATATTCATCAATGAAGACTTCTCCAAAAAGGTACGCCTCAAAAGAAAGGAACTGCTGCCACGACTAACAGAAGAACAAAAAGAAGGCAACATCGCATACTTGGAAGTATGATCAGCTGGTCATTCACCCCCCCCCCCCCCCTCTCGTAGGATAATGGCAAGTGACTCCACTATAGTCCACTGATTTGACACACACGCACATATTTACTCTACTTTGTTCATGTGTTTCACCTAACCTCATGACCAAAAACACACATTGCTCAATGTCATAACCCTCAAGTCTTCTGTGATGCTATGTGGACTGTGTCGATGTGCATTCCATATGAAGTGCACCCCATTGATAAAACTAACACAAATGGTTGTATTGGACATGTGAGGCACGTACTTCCATGTTTCTGTTCCACCCTCTGGATGATTCCCACTGTCTCGCTCTCTTAGTTGGGCAGGATATCAACCCTGATAACGTGGTCTTCAACACATTACATATTAATGAAGCAAATTATAAATATAATGATTGTGTTGATCCAGATTCACATTTCCAGAAATGTATCAGAAATAAGTATCACTTGTGATCACTATAATGTGAAGCAATTTAACAACCTGTATAGCAGTTTATCTAATTCCAAGACTAGCTTATTTTCTACCTTTCCTTAGAACGTTTGCAAAAACCTTGTTCATTATCTGTCTTCTCTCAGTCATGAATTTTCCATTGTTGCCCTTTCAGAAACATGGCTGACTGAAGAGACAACCATGCTTTATGACATGTCTCCTTATAATCCTGTAGCTCAGCTGGTAGAGCACGGCGCTTGTAATGCCAGGGTAGTGGGTTCGATCCCCGGGACCACCCATACACAAAAATGTATGCACGAATGACTAAGTCGCTTTGGATAAAAGCGTCTGCTAAATGGCATGTTATTTAGAACATCAAGAGTGGGAGGAGGAGTGTCCATCTTTGTTCATAAATGTTTTCAATTCTTTGTAAGAGAGGACCTCGCACTTACATCTGATAACACTGATGTTGAATCTCTTCCTTGAAATTCTCTCCTGTTCATTTTTTGGTGGTTAAAAAAAAAATCGGCCACCCGATTCTGATATTGGTAGTTTTATTGATATGCTTGGATTTGGTTAATAATTAAGAAAAGAATTGGTTGATTACAACATACATTTATTTAAAGAAGTGAGAACCACTCACTGACATCTGATTTTTTAAATACTTTATACTCCAGCTATCTGTATCCCCTCATCTATAAGCCCACAAGAGTGACCAGTTAGTTCACCTGCCAAGCTTATTGATAATATTTTTACTAATTATTTGAATAATGTGGCTAATAAAGGTATACTTTATACTGACATTTCTGACCACTTTCCAATTTTCCACTTCTCTTTGGCAGCTGGGAATGAACAGATGGGAATGATTAATAGCATTAAAATGTAGAATATTTAACAAAAGTAATTGTGAGCGCTTTAAGATGTTGATTGATGATATTTCATGGGGAAATGTTTATAATCAAGACCATGTGGAGTCTGCTTACCAGACTTCTCACATCTTTCAATTCTGTATTTCACCAGTGCTTTCCCTTAGTTAAACCACATAAGAGAGCAGCAGAAGGGTTCTGGAAACCTTGGTTTACAACCGGTCTCAAAAAATCCTGATGGAAATCCCTTGGATTACATTAAGGGACATTTCCCTTCTCTGCTTCAGTTTGATCCCCCTGATGTAATGGAGGTAATTGGAAACTTAAAAGATATCAGCAGCAGCCTCTAACGTATATCTTCACCAAATCTACGCAAACTGGTATTGTTCCTAAAGATGAGAAAATTGCCAAAGTTATCCCCCTCTATAAATCTGGGGATCCAAGATCTTTTACAAATTATCGCCCAATATCAGTACTATGTTTTTCTAAAATCCTAGAGAAATTGGTATATAAGAGAAAGTTGAAACATTTAAAATCAACAATGTATTCTATATGAGCACCAATATGGTTATCGTTAAAACTACTCCACAGATATAGCTCTTTTGCAACTTGAGGACAAAATCTTTACAGCCCTTAACAATTAATACGCATTTGGCATCTTTTTAGATTTATCCAAAGCGTTTGATATGGTTGATCATGAAATATTACTTTCTAAACTGCATTATTACGGATTTCATGATTATACACTACCGTTTAAACGTTTGGGGTCACTTAGAAATGTCCTTGTTTTTGAAAGAAAAGCAATGTTTTTGCCCATTAAAATAACTTCAAACTGATCAGAAATACAGTGTAGACATTGTTAATGTTGTAAATGGCTATTGTAGCTGGAAATGGCTGATTTTTATTGGAATATCAACATAGGCGTACAGAGGCCGTTATCAGCAACCATCAGTCCTGTGTTCCAATGGCACGTTGTGTTTGCTAATCCAAGTTTATCGTTTTAAAAGGCTAATTGATCATTAGAAAACCCTTTTGTAATTATGTTAGCACAGCTGAAAACTGTTGTGCTGATTAAAGCAGCAATAAAACTGACCTTCTTGAGACTAGTTGAGTATCTGGAGCATCAGAAATTGTGGGTTCGATCACAGGCTCAAAATGAACAGAAACAAATAACTTTCTTCTGAAACTCGTCAGTCTATTCTTGTTCTGAGAAATGAAGGCTATTCCATGCGAGAAATTGCCAAGAAACTGAAGATCTCGTACAACTCCCTTCACAGAACAGCGCAAACTGGCTCTAACCAGAATGGAAAGAGGAGTGGGAGGCCCCGGTGCACAACTGAGCAAGAGGACAAATAGATTTGAGTGTCTAGTTTGAGAAAAAGACGCCTCACAGGTCCTCAACTGGCACCTTCATTAAATAGTACGCGCAAAAACACCAGTCTCAACGTCACAGTGAAGAGGCGACTCCGGGATGCTGACCTTCTAGGCAGAGTTGCAAAGAAAAAGCCATATCTCAGACGGGCCAATACAAATTAAAGATTAAGATGGGCAAAAGAACACACACACGGGACAGAGGAAGATTGGAAAAAAGTGTTATGGACAGACGAATCGAAGTTTGAGGTGTTCGGATCACAAAGAAGAACATTTGTGAGACGCAGACCAAATGAAAAGATGCTGGAGGAGTGCTTGATGCCATCTGTCAAGCATGGTGGAGGCAATGTGATGGTCTGGGGGTGCTTTGGTGGTGGTAAAGTGGGAGATTTGTACAGGGTAAAAGGGATCTTGAAGAGGGAAGGCTATCACTCCATTTTGCAACGCCATGCCATACCCTGTGGACGGCGCTTGATTGGAGCCAATTTCCTCCTACAACAGGACAATGACCCAAAGCACAGCTCCAAACTATGCATGAACTATTTAGGGAAGAAGCAGTCAGCTGGTATTCCATCTATAATGGAGTGGCCAGCACAGTCACCGGATCTCAACCCTATTGAGCTGTTGTGGGAGCAGCTTGACCGTATGGTACGTAAGAAGTGCCCATCAAGCCAATCCAACTTGTGGGAGGTGCTTCAGGAAGCATGGGGTGAAATCTCTTCAGATTACCTCAACAAATATACAACTAGAATGCTTAAGGTCTGCAAGGCTGTAATTGCTGCAAATTGAGGATTCTTTGACGAAAGCAAAGGTTGAAGGACAATTATTATTTAAATTAAAAATCATTATTTCTAACCTTGTCAATGACTACATTTCCTTTTCATTTTGCTATATTCCCTATTCAAACTAATTTCATGTATGTTTTCATGGAAAACAAGGACATTTCTGAGTGACCCCAAACTTTTGAACGGTAGTGTACATATAATTGGTTATATAGTTATGTTTATGATAGAGAACAATTTGTTTATGCAAACTGCTGTGCATCTACCAGGGCCAAAATACCCTGTGGTGTGCGACAGGGTTCGATAATTGGACCTTTGTTATTCCTAATCTATATCAATGACCTTGCTGCTGTGTCTTCTACCATACTTCCCATTCTCTTTGCTGATGATACCAATTGGATTTTATCACACAACTATTTTGATTAACTAATTAATGAAGCCAACTCAGATACGGCCACATTTTCTGAATGGTTTCAGACTTTATTGTATTCTCCAGAATCTCAATTGGTGGGAATTAAATGGAACAGTTCTAATTGATGAAAGGTTATCCTGGAAAGATCATATTCAATTTGTCTGTAGCAAAGTGATATCTGTTGGTATCATCAGAAAGATTAATGGTTTGGTTCATCAGGCTTGCTTCCTAACTCTTTACTATAGCTTAATTTACCCATATCTTATTTACTGTAATATTGTCTGGCCCAGTACATATGCCTCCTACCTACACAAATTACTCATCATACAAAATACATTTACAAGACTAGCCACCTCCTCTAATTACCTGGCTCCATCTGTACCTTTGTTTAAGAAACTACAAACCTTGTCTATTTATGATATTAATGTACATTGCTTAACTGATTGAACAAACTTTTTTTTCATACTTATATTTGGGGTGTGTTTTTGGGCTTCTAACCTCACCTGCACTCTGCTTTTACCAGTTTATCTGAACCGTTCTGTCATTCTTTGGTGCGAATAAATAAAACCTAAATCTAGTTTTAAATGTAGTCTATATACCAATATCACTCCAGCTATCATCAACTTATGGTGGTGCAATTACATTGAATGGCCCGCACAGTAATGTTGTATACACATCTTTGGTACACACATAAGATACACACCTATGCGTGATTTATACAGTAACCTATTACAGTTAATCTGATCCACTCCCCAGGCCCCTCTCCCCACCTGTGTGACGGTGCGTCTGATCTTGAGGCCCTTGTCCAGGCCCTGGTCCTCCCTGGTGGTGGTGGTGTCCTCGTCCCCAGACAACTGTATGTCATCAGGGTGGAGATCCACCACAGCCTCCTGACTGGGCTTGATGTCTGGGATCAGAGACTGGTAGGAGAGGGGGAGAAAGGAGGACAATAAGTTTGAATGTAACAACTTTGAACGTATGGGCGGCAGGTAGCTTAGTGGGTAAGAGCGTTGTGCCAGTAACCGAAAGGTCGCTGGTTCCAATCCCCGAGCCAACTAGGTGAAAAATGTGTCGATGTGCCCTTAAGCAAGGCACTTAACCCTAATTGCTCCTGTAAGTCGCTCTGGATAAGAGCGTCTGCTAAATGACTAAAATGTAAATGTCTGAATTTAAAGTGATTTTCAGGGTGTTTTTTCTTCTTCAGAATATGTGTGTGTGTGTGTGTGTGTGTGTGTGTCTGTGCTACCCAGTCCAGTACCTTGAGTGAGTCTGTGGTAATGCTGATGGATGGTTTCTTGGCGTTGACGGCCGTGCTGGATCCCCACCTCCTCTTCCTCCCAGCGGCGGTCCCGGACTCTGCCTCCCCCCCTGCTGCTGCTCCTCCCTCTGGAGAAGTCTTACTGCCTGCTGAGAGGATAAATAACATGGTTAGTATAGTAATCCAATCTTATTTTTCACATGCGTCGAATACAACAGGTGTAGACTGGATAAGAGCGTCTGCTAAATGACACAAAAAAAAAGAAACAAAAAAAGGCATACGATTCCTGATTGTCTGAGGTGAGAATCTAGTTCCTAATGAATCAGGAAAACTAATATTTTATATGACAGACTCCGTTATGAACACACACCTGTGTCACCAACATATCTTGGCAGAGGAACCATGATTTACTCAAAACGGACTAATCTATGGCTTCTCTTTCGACTGAGCCTGGAATTAGAGGTCTGCGCGGGACTGATTTATTCATCCCGCTGTGCCTGCAGCTTTTCATAACTCACCCGCCCACACCCGCTGGCTTTCTGTCCGACTCTCACCCGCTACCAAAAGAACTAACTGGTCCCGAACCCAACCGCAGTCCCGCAATGTTAATTTTAGGCGTTTGACGCAACTCACCATGGTTCGAGGAATTTGGTTCCCTATAGGCAATATCAAAACGTCAAACATAACTTAATGGGTTAAATTACCAGTTTCTCACGTGACCCATTATGGCTAGCTGTATTACAGATAATCAGTGGGACCCGCAGCATGAAAAATGCTGACGCGCTGCAATGATCTCTGTAGGGACCCACAGCCCTCTACATGGAATGCATCTATAGACTGATGTGATTCTTTTTCTACAGTCTAGATTAGAGGGGATCCAGGACAGGTAACAGTAATACTCACTGGTCAAGGAGATCTTGCGTGCAGCGAACGCTTTAGGAGTGGTGCTCTGGAAAGAGAGAGAGAGGATGTAACAGATACCCCAGGGGCGTGGGGTGAGAAGAGACCCAGATACTGTGTCAACATACTAAACAGAGAGAGAGAGAGGTGGAGGATAGAGAGGGAGAGAACTATCTGACAGGCTCCTATTAAACCACATAAGGAGAAGATGGGGGGGGGCTCTTGGTCGATACAGAGAGGAACTCCAGACACGTTCACCTCCACCTTTGTTCAAAGACGCTGAGAGATTAAGACAAATGAATATGTTCCTGCTGTGTGTAAGTGTGGGTTTAGCACTGCAACTAATCAGTAGACATCTAAAGTACACTCCTACTGGGTTTGTCAGTGTGTTGGTGTAGGCACGGTGGTAATTAACTGAAAATACTCCTACTGCGGTGTTGCTGTGGTGTGGGTGTAGTGCCAACAGAGGACAAACCAAGTGCATAGAATAGGCTATATAAAGGGTATAATTTAAGGCATCAGCAAGCTTTCCTCTAATAGACTGTAGAGACCTGGTTGAGTGTAAGACGGACTGACATTAACTTACTCCTTTTAGCTCCTAGTTGAGTGACAGGGCGTTGTATTAATGTATCTTTATGGGCTCTGGGTCGGGGATGTTAATGTTCAGACCAGGAGGATACCCTTGAGCTAATGGTTAATGATGTCTGGCTCTTCCTGTGTGTGGTAAGCAGAGAGACCGACTATACTGTAACTGTATATCTTTTATAATCAAATAGTGAATAAAAATAAAACGCAACATGCAACAATTTCTACGATTTTGCTGAGTTACAGTTCATGAAAGGAAATCAGTCAATTGAAATAAATTAATTAGGCCCTAATCTATGGATTTCACATGACTAGGCAGGGGTGCAGTCATGGGTGGGCCTGGGAGGGCATAGGCCCACCCAATTTGGAGCCAGGTCCACCCACTGGGTTGCCATGCCCAGCCAATCAGAATGACTTTTAACCCACAAAAGGGCTTTATTACAGACAGAAATACTCCTCAGCATATAGTCTTCATTTTGTTGCCCATAAAATGTATATGTACAAAGGCCTGTGTTTGTGCCTAAACATCTACATACAATGCTGTGAGTCAGTGTTTGGGTTGTGACGAAGTGTTCAATGTCACAGAGGTGGAGGGGTGGGCGCTGGAGACCTCGTCTGTCAGACCAGAGACACCTGAGCAGGTCTGGGCTGATACTGCAGTTCCAATTCAGTGGAGGATTCAAATAAAGAATGGTGTTCTGACAGGAAATGCATGCAGACACTTAGGATAGGCTACATATAAAATTAGGATGTTCTATCAACTTGAAACTGCAGTAATCATGACAGTTTAAAAGGGTTTATATTGAGTTAAACATAGCAAAATGAAGTCAATCCTCCAGTCGAAGTAAACGACCAAACAGATCTGAGAAGAAACTATCTGACATTACTTAACAGTTATTTAAAAAAGTAAAATATCTCAAATAGAGAGAAAAATGACAAGTCATTTCCTGGTACCATTGACACCTGATTCCTCACTGGCTTGGCTATGGCCCAACCGCACGGCAGTGTGTACTGTATCTAGGCAACAAGGGTCCAATCAGAGAAGGCAGAGGAGTGAGGGCGGGACTCGATTTGAGTGTGCTGAATGGTGATTAGCCGGCAGGCAGGAAGTGATCTTAGCTTTGGACTTTTTTTCTCGAACGGGAGGGGGAAGAGGGCTTTTCTCAACTGACTGGTGCTTTGCTTGATAAAGAGTCATTTTGCCTTTGGCTTGTGAGGCAAGGGATTCCTGAATGGATGGTTTATCGACAAATAGGGGTCAAAACTTTTGAGGTCCCAATATAAACAAATCGGATCCCTTGATGTACATGACAGAATTTGCGTGACGTATAGACTTGCAAAGTTGCAGCTGAAAAGTCTCTGATGGTGTAATAATCAATAGTCCAATGAGACCACAGATTGAAGTTGAAGTCCATTATGGCTTGAGTAGTTTTATAAAGGTTCAGTGAGGGGGAGATGTTCTATAAATAGCTTTGAAAGTCTCTTACAGATGTCTGGGCAAACACCCCGTTGTCAATTCAGAATGTAGGCTATTAGCACACACACTGATGACGTATTCTGTGTGCACTGTAACCAGATTTGCCAAAAAAATGTCCTTTCGTATTTGCTTTGAGTGTCTTTGATGCAGGTGAAAAGTTCAAATCAGATCCAGAAGTCTGATGAGGGCTGACCAGCCAATCAAGACCCAGGTTGGCTGCTGGCCTGGCAGGTCAAGCCAATAGGAGCATTCGGAACAGGGGAATGAGCCAATGAAAAGGGCCCGTAGCAACAAAACAGTTCCATAAGTTCTTGCACTCAGAGGTTAATGTCTTTATGAGAAAAGATGTAGTCCAAAATCATGTTTTAAGTCCATTTCAATAATCCACTTGAGTGTCTACATTGAAGACACATAGCTAGGAGACGTATCAGAGAAAGTCAACTTGGTGTCGTTTCCGATTATCGGTTTGGTCCTTAGCAGTGTGTAGGTGGAACCAGTTCATTCAAGTCAATGAGGCAGAAATCATCTGCCGGTTTACAGTCCTCTCAACCAGTAGGGGGCAGACTGGCAGGAAGACACAGGGAGATAAACAGCAGGAAGTAGCAGTGCCTCTGGCCTCATCTTGTCTGCAACGAGTCCGTAGTCCACGTTCTCTCTCTGTGCGGGTGTGGAGAGTAGCTGTAGCTTCTCCACAAAATGGCAGAAGGAAGGGAAGGCGACAACAGGAGAAAACGTCCCCCTCCCTCTCTCTCCACCAGGCAGTCCAGTGAGTGGGCTTCCCTCCCCAGGGTTCTGGTGCTGATTGTGGTTGCGTGGCTTGTTGTGTTTCTGCAGGTTTTGGCTGGCTCAGCTCTGGGCGTTGGTGGGTCAGGCTCAGGCCCTGTGGTTGGCTCAGGGCTGGGCTTGCAGGCTCAGCCTCTATTTCGGTGGTTGGCTCAGCGCTGGCCTGGGCTGGAGGTTAGGGAAGGCCTTGGTGGTTCAGCTTCTCTCTGTATGGCTTCAGCGCTGGTCTTGGCTGGAGGATTAGAGGGGAGGCCTTGCAGGCTCTGGCTCTCTGGTTCTCTCTCGGAGGCTAACTCAGTGCGGTCAGGTGTGGTGTAGTAGTAGCTCTCACTCTGGGGCCTAGATCAGGTACAGCCGAGGCGCTTGGGCATAGCGGGGCAGGAGTTGGAGGAGGAGTAGTAGTACGCAGGTACCATTAGGGACAATGGAAGAGGCATGGGCACCTTCGTAACAAAGCAATCAATGGGGTTTTAAAACAGCAGTCACACCAAGAGAGATAAAGAGATCATGGGAATGACAGAGATAAAGATGGACAGTCAGGCTAGAGAGAGCGCGAGAGGGAAAGAGATAGAGATCATCAGTAGAGAGAAAAATAGAGAGCAAGAGTCAGTTGTGGAGAGAGAGAAAGAAAGCAGAGGCAGAGATGGAAAGAGAAGGGGGAGAGAGAGACAAAGAGGTGGAGAGAAGAGGAGGGAAAGAGAGAGGAGGGAGAAAGCCTTGATGTATCTCTCCCCACACACTCTGTCAGGGGCTATTACTCATGCAAACCCTGAGGTCACGGTCCCAAACACACACGGTGAGGGTGAGCCATTTCAAAAGGGTTTATTTAGCTGAATACCAATAGCATTAGCTTATAATCTGCAATATGTAAAAGAGAAGAATATTCTCTGAAGTTATCTCATGATAGATCAATCAAAATGAGGGTCCTATTAGCCATGGAACATTGCTGGTTTACAGCATTGGATCTGACTCAAGTAGGGAAGGACAACCAAATAAATGTAACTCTGCTTCCCTTTGATGGCTCTGTAATGATTATTACTACAAAACTGTATGGCCATTATAGGATTAGTGAAAATGTGTGTATATTTATCTGAAAGTGAGTGTTACTTTAGCTTGTGATAATAAGGAGGAATGTGACTGTAGATTAACTTAACTCACCCTCTCTCACAACCACACACTGACACCCACACTGACCAAACAACATCGTGATGTGGAGCATGCATGCAGTCTGTGTGGAGTTCACATCTTATTTCACACCCCATTAGGGATGAACCGCCTGCAGTCGAGTCGCTTAGGCAACTGCTCTATGAAAATAATGACTACATAATAATGTGTGTGTATGGCACCTCTGTGTGTGAGGCACCTCTGTGTGTGAGTGTATGTTGCAAAGAATGGCTGTATCAAACTCAGTCAAAGGACGAGGAGAGGTTAGATCGTTCAGACCCATACCTATGGGTATTTTAACTCTATCGAAGCCATAGTTACAAGGGGGTTAGTATGCTCGTTCACTGTTATCCCGACACATACAGAAGTATCCCTCTATGGACATTTAACAGTGTCCCAAATGCCCCCCCCCACCGTTAGCCCCTTGCTCCCAGTACCCTCCCAGTACCCAACCCCTCCCTCTCAGCGGCCTTACCTCCTCCATACGGCCCTCACTGTTCTGTGGGTCCCCGACGGGGATGGGCTGGGTCTGGCCTGGGTCTGGCCTCTCCAGAGGGCAAGACGGCTCTGACAGGGAAGATTGCTTTACCTCCCTGGGGGAGAAAGAGGGAGGGAGAGAGGGTAGGGTAGAGAGAGCAGATTATCATACAAAGATCTGAATTAGGAAAATGTCATAAAATCTAAGACATAGATTACATCTGTGGTCTTTTGTCCTACCATCTCTCATTAGCCATGAAAACGGAAAAGAATCTCGTACGAAGTAACTAAAATGTGTCCCTCATTAAAAAGCAGAGAAGAGAAGATGGATGGGAGGCTACCTCTACCTCGGAGAAGAGAGCCGGAGACATACAGAGGACAGATGGAGGACGAGGGAGAGCGAAGGGGAAGTTGGTTGAGGCCAGTGATCTGGGACAGTGTACTATAAATAACTTACTCAAACCATCAGGCAGCCAACTGACACCCAGCGCTGGGGTCACAAATACACCTCAAAACAAACTACTCATAAGGTCAGTCACACAAACAGACTGACCAACAAAGACATCCTACTGACTAACCAAAGGCTGCATACGTACACAAATTGAGGTGATCATTTACAGGGTCATAACGTCACTGACTGCCAACTAATTGGAAATATTCATTATTGCATCCTCAAGCCTTCCACCTCCTCCACACCGAAACAAAGTAATTGTTGTGTGTGTGTAGCTCTTACCCCCTCCAAACACCTGCAATGTGAGGCCTGTGATGGGGCTAGGGGCCAGATGTCTACTAGAACTCGACCCCAATGGGGCAGCAGTGTAGGAGCAGCCTGTCCCATAAGTGATCATTAAGAGAGTGTGTGTGTGTTGGGGTGAGAAACTACCCCTATGTTTCATGAGAGGCCGCTATTTTTTCCATTTCCTCCTTTATCGTTTAATCCTTGCGCCACACATTCAGCATTGATTGTACATGTGGTACCCGCAAGAGACAGTCTCATCAACAGTGAGCCTTGGGAGAAGGAAAATGATGTCACACCATAAGGGTACACAGACACGACTTGCTGGCTAACAGATGTCTTGTGTATTAATGAACTCCCATGGTGACACTCATTTAACATCACCACAACTCATCTCGCTGAACAATCTGACACCAGAGCCATATATTTATACAAGGAGCATAGAAAACGACATGTGAAGAAGTGGACACTTAAAATCAGGTATACCCAAGGATTCATGCAGTGGGACATGCGTTATATAATCTATAGATTCATACCAATGATACGTGTGTATGAATCCAGGGGTATTCCTGATTTCATTGTCCACTTCTTCACATATCGTTTTCTATATATATATATATATATATATATATATATATATCACACACCGATTCATACGGTGAGACAGGCAGCTTTCTTTATCATTTAAATATATAAAATGGTCTCTAAACATCCATTGGATTCACAGTGAGTGTGGGTGAGCTTTAGTACACACCAGAAAAACATGTTATGACAGTCAAGAGTAACGAGGAAGTCATTCGTTGTTTAATAAAACGAAACGCTGCTACTGCATGATTCTCACAATGATGCCTTTAAGCCAACCACTACCAGCTATATTAGTTATTTATCTGCGTAATGGATCCTTTGGTACTCGAGACTTAAAACATGAGTGACCACGGAGTTACCCCGGTATCGCCCATCCCCTCCCCCCCAACACGAGGCCATTGGATCCACACCCCCCGTGAACGTGGAGAGAGCGAAACTCGCGTACACGTTGTATGTAATACACTTCGTATCTAATAATCAAACGCCCACGTCTATAGTTGACCGTGACAACGCATGAGTCGAAAGTTTAGCCATAATCTGAATATAAAGGCACCAGACCCGCAGGTTGAACGAGGGTTTGAGACATGACACAAGTGACAAGCTATCAGCACTAGCTGCGCGGTAGCGACTAGCGATGAAACCAAGGGTAGCAGCTAGCAACGTAATGCCTAACCCCTCTCCCTCTAGTTCGCCATCTTACCCGTTTTTGTTGCCTTCTGACAGCATATTGCCGGGCTGGAACCCCCGACAGCCAACGCTCTATCGTAATCGATTACTCCGGTCAAACGTGGTTTAAAATCGAGAAATCCTTATGCGGCTGCGGGGTTTGTGCACTGCGACGGTATCAGAGTAGCAATACACGCACGACGGCCATATTGGATAGCGAGCCGGGAGGGGAATTTAGTGTGAGAGAGCGAGGACAGGTCTATCTTCTCAGCTAAGGCAGAGAGGAAGAAGCGAGAGGGTTTACTCCACCCAAAACCAGACCACGAAAATAATACCACGAAATTAGGAATTTTTGTAAAGAAGTCAATGAGTGTCAACTTTTTTTAAAAAGTACTTTATATCGGAGTTGTGCCTCGTGTTCACACGCGTATCTGCCCTCATTGGCTAATATGATCCCACCTGATCTCGCCTCCCCCCGCCTGCCATCCATCTTTGAGGACATGCATTTCCATTGTTAGAGCGGTCACTCGACCATCTTGTCAATAATAGATAATGGCCAAGGCCACACCGGCTGTGGCCCTGCCGCATTGAGCGCCTGACAAAAAATATGACTACCGTTTTTTGGTCCATACTATCTGGGATCTTTGGACGTCCCAACGCTGACGTTACCAATGATGTATATAAACCCTGTATTGCGATTGCTATGTATTGGTCAAGGAGAGGCTTTGAAGCCGCCGATCGGCCATATTAACATATTGGCACTCCCCAGAAAGAGCAGTCCTCCATAGGAATGAATGGAATTGTACAGTATTTCAATTAAAATGTTTAGGACAAAATTACATAATTGTTGTTGTTGTAGTGGGACAGTATCATTACAACAAAAAAACAGATGCATGAAGGTGTCTGTAATAGATTAAGTGGCAAAAACAAAATGTAGACATTAATAAATTATTAATATAGCTTCCAAAATATTATTTACAACGGTTGGGGAGTGCCAAGATGGAGGCGCGGTGGCTTCAAAACAGCGCCCCGTTAGCCAATAAAAATAATTGGACGTTAACCAATTGAAGTTTACATTTAAAATGGTAGGGTTACGGTTAGAGTAGGGACGTCCCAAGTATTCCGCATATAACCGTTGCCTTTTCCATAATATGTAGTCGTGTGAGTAAGCATCAGTTAAGTTTCCTCTCACGACCTCTACAAGCCAGAATGTTGAATAAAAACTATAAACTTTTTAAAGTGCTGGTAGTGCGTTCAGATTTCTATCGCCTGATGCATGCACACAAGATTTTTAAAAAATAAAAGAGACGCATGCATACTTGCCGTGCACGTGTTTACATGGTTCTGCGCATGCTTCAGGTGATAGAAATCTGAACGCATTAAGCACTTTAAAAAATTGATGTAATTATTCTTTCCTGTGCATAGATTCTCACAATCCTACAGCCAAAATGACCAACCGGTAAAGTACATTAAAATATAATTGTATTCAACTTTCTGGCATGTAGAAGTCTTGAAAGGAAACTTTCCTGATTCAAAACGCTCATTTCTTCCAGACTTAGAATTCAATGCAATTCAACGTCGGGTTTCCAGGCAAGGAGGAGTAGAGTAGCTACAATGTATAAAGCTAAAACATTGTTGCAAACTCTGGTTGGTGTTCTGGCCAATTTACAGTATCAGGTCTATATGGAAGACACCATTCACATTTTCTTCCCAATTTATCCTTGTCAAATGTCCAAACCAAAAGTCAAGCCAAAACATCTGTCATTCATCAAAACACAATAAAACCAATGAAACATATACTTCACTCATGGTCATTGATAGACATTCAAACGTCATGATGATGAGGCAAGACACATACAGTATACATCTGCACACACACATCCACACACGTTTTCTGATGGTGCTTCCTGCTTTTATTATAATCTTTAAACTCTCAATTGCTACCTTGCGACGTCCATCCACCCCTGGAGTCCAATCCTCCACGGATCAATGACCAGAATGAAGTGTTCAGCATGTGTTCAAGTAATAATATAATAATAATATGCCATTTAGCAGACGCTTTTATCCAAAGTGACTTACAGTCATGCGTGCATACATTTTTTGTTGTTGTGTATGGGTGGTCCCGGGGATCGAACCCACTACCCTAGCGTTACAAGTGCCGTGCTCTACCAGCTGAGCTACAGAGGACCACATCCAAAGACACATTCACATTGCAGACAAAAAAAAATGCCAGCAGAGCCAAGAGACATTGGTAGAGGAATAGATTATATGATATGGACTGTTGTAAACCTACAAACTGGCATTTAGGATTGTATTCTGTTCTTGTGGGAAGAAATGAATTAAGTGAGAGACAGGTGTGAGATGGAGTATGATTTTGTGAATCTGTGTAGGCCTATATCAGCAACACCGTGAGCACATAATGTCACTTGTTTTTGAAAGGTTTGCAGGAGCTTCCCCTCAAATGTGAGCACCTCACCAAGGATTGTTTATGTGAAGTGTGTGTTCGTGCGTGCAAAGAACAGCAAGGAGTGTGTGTGTGAGAGCAACTCAAATGGTACTATGGCTGACCTGGCAGGTTGGTTCTTCTCTCCTCTGTCCAGTCTTCTCTTTTTATCCCCTTTTCCTGTGCCAGTCTTCTGATAAACAAATAAAGAGTGAGCAAATCACAGACAATTGGCAATATATAGCAAAATATCAACGTGTTCTGTTAAGAGACCAAAAGTGTTCGAGACACTTCTATAACAGTAAAGAATCAACTTTTATATCAGTAAATGTAGTCAAATAAAGAAAAAAGTTAGACAAGAAAGATGGGGATTTGTTAAGGAGCAAGGCGTAGGATTGTATGAGGGAAGAGAGGTTATGTTAATTGTAAATGGGGAAAAAATATAAAGAAATAAGCATGGCATGTGCAGGTGGTGAAGCATCTTTCACTAGTTCTCCTCAGCCCACACTGAACCAGTCAGTATGAGAAGGTGAGTTTAACTCACTTGCACCCAGAGAGACACACTGTCAGTCTGGCGCATCAGTATTAGCATGGCGGGATCATCATCGGAGAGAAGCATAAGCAAGAACTAATGTGTAGACTGCTCTAGCACTGGATTGTGATGATAGCTTGTCATTGCAGAGAGAAAGATTGATTGACATCCAGATTAGCCAATCACTAACCTTCTTTTTTTTGTCCCGGGAGGAGGTGGAGCCAGAGGTACGTGACGAAGAGGATCCAGAGTCCGAGGATGAAGAGTCGCCACCACTGGAGGGGGATGACCTCCTGTGCCTCGCCCTCTCCCCCCGTCTGCCTCGCTCTTCTTCCTTCAACCTCTCATATTCCTTCCTCCTCCCCTCATCTTCCTTCCTCCTCCTCTCTTCTTCTCCCTTACCTGGGTAAGAAGGGGGCAGAACAGGTCCCATGGGCTCAACCTCAACAGTCTTTTCAGGTCCCCTTCTCCTGGTCTCCCCGGCTTTAGAAGTCTCCTTCTCCGCCTGGCTGTCACGCTCCTTCTCCTTCTGGCTGTCACGCTCCTTCTCCGCCTGGCTGTCACGCTCCTTCTCCTTCTCCGCCTGGCTGTCACGCTCCTGCTCCTTCTCCTTCTGGCTGTCACGCTCCTTCTCCGCCTGGCTGTCACGCTCCTTCTCCGCCTGGCTGTCACGCTCCTTCTCCGCCTGGCTGTCACGCTCCTTCTCCGCCTGTCTGTCACGCTCCTTCTCCACCTCCGCCTGGCTGTCACGCTCCTTCTCCGCCTGGCTGTCACGCTCCTTCTCTGCCTCCGCCTGGCTGTCACGCTCCTTCTCTGCCTCCGCCTGGCTGTCACGCTCCTTCTCTGCCTCCGCCTGGCTGTCACGCTCCTTCTCCGCCTGGCTGTCACGCTCCTTCTCCGCCTGGCTGTCACGCTCCTTCTCCATCTTCCCATCGTCTCCAGTTTTCCATCCAGGCTTCTCCACGGACGCCTTGTTCAGTGCAGTGACCTCCATGGTGTCGTCTGTGTGCTGCTGGGCCCCTGAGACAAGGACCACCTGGGGTCTCACAGATATACCATGGGGTTCAGGGGGTTCCCCTGGGGTGGTCACCACCACTGACCCCTGCTGCACAGGTTTGGGACGGGAGATCATGGAGCCGGAGGAGGTGTCGGAGAACATGCGGAGCTTCTTGGGGGCGATGGCAGGCGGGGGGGTGGTGGTGGTCGTCATGGCTGAGCCGGGAGCGGAGGATAGGGGTTCGTCCCTGCCGAAGGGTGACATTTTAGGGGTGTCTCCCTGGTCCTTTGCAGGCTCCTCTGACCCCCCAAACCCAAACTGTGAAGACGCAGATGGAAGCGTCAAGTCACGTCCACGCTGCCATGGCGGCAGATGACTCTCCCTCTCCTTCTCTTCCTGTTTCTCCCTCTCCTTCTCCGCCTGCTTCATCTTCCTCTCCCTCTCCTCCACCTGCTTTGTCTCTTTCTCCGTCCTCTTCTGTGCCGTCTCTCCAGATGGACCCTGGGGCTCGGTGGTGAGGGTTATGCTGGGGACAGCTGCCACCGACAGCAGAGGGACAGGATGGGACTGGGGCTGGGCTCCTGATCCAAACATAACCACGGGTGCAGGGACCTCAGGTACAGTGACGAATCCCGTGTGCCCTGCGCTGCTGCTACCTCCTGTGTGGGTGATAGCAGCCCCAGGGAACCTGACCACCCCAACCCCCGGTCCTGCTCCAGCTCCTGGGCTGCTGCCAACTCCATCTCCTGGTCCGGAAGCCTCCCCTCCAGGACCTGTCTGGCCGTCCGCCAGCGCACCCTCGCCTCTCTTACCGAAAGCTCCCTCGGACGCCATCTTGCGGGCCAGCAAAGAGAGGGGTCCGGGCCGGCGCTGGGCTAGGGGCTCTGGGCTGCTAGATCGGGAGCTGGAGTCAGAGTCCTGCCTCTGGAGGCCACCTGGAGGGGGGCGGACAGCCACCCCAGCTCCTTCTGACTCCTCATCCATGTCGGGCGGACTTTGTTTGGGGGTGTCGGGGAGGGGGAAGGAGAGCTCTGGGGGTGGAGAGGGGGGCGGGGTGGGCTGGCGGAGCTGCATGGGGGGCTGGTGTACTACCTGCTGAGGGGGGATGTGTTGCGGAGGCTGGAGCTTGCGTCTGGATCGCTCTCGGGCCGCTGGGACGCTGGGGGAAGGCTGCTGGGGCTGTGGGGGAGGGGCACATCCTCTTCCGCCACCTCTCCTCGCCCCCGCCGCAGGTCCCCACTCATCTTCATCCTCCTCACTGCTGTCATCATCGTCACCGTCTTCCTGGACGCGGTTACCGCCGGCTGCTGCACGGGCGGAGCGGCTGAGGTGGAGTACGGAGTGGGCAGGTCGGTCGTCATCCGCCGGGGCGGTGCCTTCCTTCTCCTGGGTCTGGGCGCGGGAGGGCATGGACGGGGGCAGGCCCTGGCGCTCTGGGTCCCCTAGGACGCGCACCGACAGGGAGGCCACAGCTCGGGGCGGGGAAGGGGTGGTGGGCTCCTCGTGGTGGAGGCCATGTTGGAGGGAGGGACGGTGCTGCATCCAGGATCCAGGACCTCCAGGGGCGTTAGGGGACTCTTGGGGCACAGAGCTTGGGCCAAAGTCTGGTCTGCGAGACATCATCCCTTGGCCCATCATCATCCCTTGGCCCTGGTGCCCCATCATCATTGGCCCTCCTCCTCCCTCTTCCTCAGCCCGGGTCAGTGGGGGCTGGGAGGGCATGGGGCGATGCTGGGGTGGGAGAGGAGAGGTTGGGGGAAGAAGACAGAGAAATTGAGACTGTTTGCTCGGTTGATATGAACAATATAACATATAGGATAATAAATATATCTGGAGGACCGTTCGAATGTGGTTGGCTTTTTAGCGTCTTCTGCTTCTGTCTGTGTGTAGGTTACTGACCTTGTCAGGGTGGTAGGAATCACTGTCGTTACCCTCCTCTGTTTGCTCCTCCTCCTCTGGGCCCGCTGGGCTTTCTGTTTCACAGAAAGAGGAAACAGAGGTTAGATGTCAGGGGTCAGAGTTGACCTAATAAAAGGCCATGCAGCACACTCCATTTGTTTGACAACAAAATAAGCTTTTTGCCCATTTAGAAAGAATGGAACTGGGATGTCTGCAGACTACAACTCAATTGGGAATGGAATAAACAAAGACTGCTCACTCACTTACCAAAATAAACTGGTATACAATAATACATTAAACTGACAGACACAGAAGTAGTATTAGTAGCCTTTTGGGTAAAATATATTACAGCGGGAATCGTGGTTAATTCCTAGTAGTTCTCCTCAGCTCACACTGAACCCAGTCAGTATGAGACGGTGAGTTTAACTCACTTGCACCCAGATAGACACACTGTCAGTCTGATGCATCAGTATTAGCATGGCGAGATCATCATTGGAGACAATAAGGACATAACATGGTGTGAGAAATGAAATGGGCACACTATCCATATATGCTGATGAGGAGTTCACTCTGGCACATCCATATGCAGATGTGAATGGCACTAATCTAACTGCCCTCCATTCAGGTATATACCGTTGTTAACAACACTATTGTGCCACTATTTATACATACATACATACATACATGTGCCAACTACACTAATCTATGGGGCCATCGTCCATTGTTCAGCAGATGGCCACACTAGCACCACTTAGAATGCATGCTCAAAACATTGCTTCACACTAAGTAGTATGCTAGTGTGGATATTGGAACAATGTTCCAATGCCCACTCCACACCAGCATTCCATGCTAAGTAGTGTATGCTAGTGTGGATATTAGAGCCTGATTGTGGATGTCTTGCCGTCGGCCTCGGCTGCCTCCCGGGCCTCCCTCTCCAGTCTCTGGCGGAGGAGCTCCTGCTGCTGGGCCAGGTACTGCTTTATAAAGCTGTTCTGGCTCATCTCCTCCCCAATCTAAACTCACAGGGGATATAGGCACAACATTAGAAAACAGGAAGGGAAAGGCTATCTTTGTATTTGAATGATACAGGACTCATCTTCACCCCAATCTAAGAATATATAAGATAGACAACCTTAGAAATGTAATGCTACAGGTAGAAATACAGTATGTTCTAATTAATTTGAGGGTAAAAAAATATATACATCTCTGGTCAAACACACAGATGACTGACAATTAAATCAGGTAACTCCACCTAGTGTTGACTCTGTTTTGCTTGGGCTCTTACCTGGGAGTTGGGCTGGAGCCCAATATGGGGAGTGGAGGTCCTCTGAAGATTCTCCAACATTAGAGCCTAAAACAGAGAGCAAAAGACTGGTTGAAACACATACATCACCATGCTGTTGTATTTTCGCAAAGATGTAGGTGAGTAAGAGCTATTTGTGCATTCTCCTCAGCACACACTGATCCAGTCAGTATGAGAAGGTGAGGCTAACTCACTTGCACCCAGAGAGACACACCGTCAGTCTGGTGCATCAGTATTAGCATGGCGGGATCATCATCGGAGAAGCAATAAAAGCAATACAGTACTAAACATTCAACATTTACATTGTAGCAAAACTAAACACATTCTTCCATGCACATACATGAAATCAGTCAACAAATAAGGGAGATAAATGTAGCATCATAGACAGGACAAAAACCTGTTGTTCCCATGCCAACTCCAGCTGGAGTTGTTTCTGTGCTGTTGCAGCTGCAAGTGATGCCCAAAACGTCATCATCGTGGTCGGGAGCAGGGTCTCAAACACTATTTCTCTCTGTCCTGTCCTCTGCATGGATATTCTCTTCTAATGAACAAACCCATTTTTATTCCGTATAAATAGGGAACGTAGAAGCGACAGGGATCGTTCGTTGGTCAGTTACATAGGAGGGGGGGCCCAGCCAAAGCTTCATGGCGATACGTAAATCCAAATCGACTCGGGTCATTGAGTTTATAGAGTGCCAGCCAGTTTCGATTGCTCTTCCAATACATTTGCAAACCTTTAGCTTGCATTCAATTGGAAATGCGGAAGAAGAATACCCCATTTTCACACACAGGAAATTGTAATAAAACATGCAAAAGAAACTGCATGGCTGATTAAAGAACGTGTCGTTATAATTGTGTGATTGCGGAATATTGTGTGCAGTTGTTATTACGCCACTTATGGGGCAATTATAATGCAATTGGGTATTGGCTCAGACGGTGTGCACATTATATTCAGCATTAGTTTGCAGGAAAGCGATATGTTTTTCAGTTGTGGTAGTGTTTAGGAACATTTATTTTAGTAAAATAGATAATTGAAGATGAAAATAAAAGCAATTTCACGTTAATTAACTCCAAAACATGCTTGCCTTGCTAAGCTAACTATGTAACTAGCGAGCTAATGTAAACGGCGCATATGGGCAGGCGCGTACCCAATCACCCTGCCCCTCCTCCTCTCACAGAACGCTGGCCCGAGCACAGCAGCTCAAAAATACAGTAGAGGGACTACCGCTAGTTAGCTCGCTAGCATAAACACACACACACTCCGGTTGGGCCTTCAGTTCGGTCCGTGCAACACATCTCAACTTTGAAGAGTGTTGTACCACACTAGACATAGTTCTACATTTGTTTCGACATCTTGAAACACACTGATGCATAATTCGCTAGACCTGAAATCCTCCGCACGCGTATGCGTGCCAAATATTATGCATTCCCACTCCCGAACCACCGACACACGGCCTATAACCCCACTCTCTATAGCCTCCTGCTGAACTTGACCAGCTTGTTGATAGAAGCAAAAACCTGAGCCAAGCTTACCCCTTTCAGTCGCTTAATGAGTGTATTTTTCGCCCCGCTTTTAGGGAGGCATCGTTGCTCCAAAGCGGCTTTCAAGTCTGCCACACGGAGCGATTGTAGAGGTTTACCATTCAGCGTAACATCTTCATCCGCCATTTTGCTTTCCTGTCACTCGCTCTGTCGACTCGCTCGAGCTCCAACAGGCGTCGCTACGTCCTCCGAATCCCCGCCAACGTCACGGTTCGGCAATCTCCGGAGGGGGTGGAGAGAGATCGCTTTCCTACTGTGGTTACCAGCCAATATTGCGCTAGCCTTGTTAACATCTCAACAAATATTATAAATAACTTTCCATGATTTAAACGTAACTTATCCATGTGAGTGCAATTGACGCCCTTTCCAGAACCAGACAGTGCACAATATGTCAGAAAAAAGTGGACTAAAAAACATGAAAACGGAAACACCTTTTTAAAAATACATAGACATATTTTCATCAGAAATAATCCACAGCAAGACAGAACAATAAATGTAATTGTACAAATGTATTTGTGCATTTTTGAGGGGAACATAGTCAGGCATCATTGTAGTGTTCAACTTTCATGAAGTGTATACTGGATAGATCTATATGCCTTTTTCTAGCCATGGAGTCAATACCAACAAATTCACTTTATTGTAAAAACTAATTACACAACGAAAAGCTTTCAAAAATATATTCTGGTACAAAAAAAAGAAGGCAAAAAAACATTATAGCTCAATCAAACTAACTGCTCTTCTCAGCTTGTTCTTTTTAACCATTATTGTAGTAAAATGTAATTCACTGTGTGAAGTGAAAATGTCCCTGTTAAATATGTGCATATAACAAATAAAGCAACTTAAAGCCATGCAGATCATAAAGCAAATACAAAATGATCAATAAATACAATTATTATTATGATGATGCTGCTTTTCTATTATCAGGCCATGGATGTGGTGTGCGCTGTGCAGGCAGGCATTCTGTAGAAATACTGCTACCTTCCACTAGGTAGCGCTCAAAGGCATAACACTAGAGCTTGGTGAAAGTTCTTCGTACTTTTTTTGGCACTGATGCATCTTTGTTCATTTTATCCTCTATCACCAACATACCACTGCTGCATAGACTTCGAGACAGCTATACTAGTGAGGGTGTTGGTGGTAGCATTGAGTTTGCAGGGCAATTAGTGTCTTTCAACAACACGAAAGCCTAGAAGCCTGCGCCCCAATCCCAAATGAACCACTATCCCTTACCCCCCTATGCACTTATTAGGATCTGAGAGGATTGGATAGGAGTAACCCAAGAACGAATATGGCCAAACTAGTACCTAGCCTATCAGAGGCAGCACTAAACAGGTGCAAAACAGGAGATTAGACTTAAGCAGAGAGATGGAAACAAAGATATGAACTTTATGGAGATACACACGCACTACAGTAATATCCTATTTGGCATGTCTGCAACCCACATGTTTACTATAGCTCACAAGGGCTCACTGACAATAGAGTTGGAGAGAAAACACAGACAGGCACAGGCAAGAGTAGGCCAGCATGTCTGTCTGGGAGCCACCATCATAGATTAGACAAAAGACAACCCTTTCTTTCTCATCCTTTGGACAACATGCAGGGGACTGTGCAGCTGTGTGGGAAAGCCAGGGTGTGACGAAAGTTGAAACGCGTGTGGGAAATCGAAAGAAAAGGAGAGAGGGGGACAAGTGAGTGAATGGAAAGCGAAACAGGTGTAGACAAGTAAAAGTTTGCAGACAGGTTTTTCACTTGGTGGCCTTACTGTGGGAAAGAACGTGACCGACTAAGCGCTCTATTGCTCCACCATCATTCCTTTCACAACAGAGTAGTACACCCCTCAGGTTCTCTATCAAATCGCTCCATCTATCATCTCATCTCCCTCCATCTCAATCCCGTTTAACACTCATATTCTCTTCTTTTCCATCCCGCTCTTCCAGACTGCAAGGTAGGAAACTGAAGCGGTAAGAGTAGTCTGGTCCCAGATCTGATTTAGCCATCTTTCAAACTCCTATGGTTTACATCCTAAAGTTTTTTTTTTAAGTGTTGTTTTATGACATTTGATTCTCCAATGCAACACGGAAGCCCAGGCAGAAACACACAGCAAAGCTGTCATGGCATTTACATACAGACCCACCACCTGCACCGTCATCAAGTTATCCCCGCTCTCCTCCATAGCTCCAACAAACAACACCAGGATGTGAGACTCAATTGCTATTTTTGGAGAGGGGGATGGAGGGTTACTTACAATAAATAAAGATGCAAAGATCAAATAAAATAAACGGTTATGTCAATGTAAGAAGAAATAATGGCAACCGAACAGAAATAAGCTGACTCCCATAATACAGTGGCCCACAAGGGACACTGAATGTCACAAACAGGGTTCAAACAAAACAGTCATCATCAATCATCAGGACACACAAGATGAAAAGTGTGCTTGGCACCAAAAACCCAGAAGTGAGTAGGTATAAAAACATACAAAAGGCCAACCAAGAACACACACGCACACAAAATCTAACTGGGTGACGATTTGAGGCACAGATCTGAGTTCTTCTGGACTGAAATTCTATGATTCAACCTCACTTACTTCAAACGTCGAACCGTTCAATTCGAAAGATAATAACACAATGTAACAACAACTAAGGCATTTCAAAGTAGAGAGAAAATGTATTGTAAACAAGTTTTAAGAAGAAAAGTTGAAGAAATATTGTCAAGATATTTCCGCCAGGCGCTGCAGCAGGCCGGAGAAGCCTGCGGCATGCTGTGACAGCTCGGCCACGCGGTCCACCATTTCCTGGGTGGCAGCGACTGATGGGTAGTTCTGGGCTGCCCCCTTCGTTGCCACAACGACAGCCTTCAGGGCCTGACATAGATGCCCACCTGAGGTTGTGACCTACGGAGAGAGACAAAGACAAATAGAGATTGATTATGGCTTCATCATAGGACAATATGCATTTTAATCTTACCTAAATGTCCCTAATCTTGTCCCTAATGCCTGTCACCTTGACCTAAATCTCATATGAATTCTGTTGCAAGCTGTTCTTTATCTTGCTATGTCATATCAAACCCTACATTTGGAATGAAATGCAGGGTCGTGCTAATTAGGCACCAAACGGAAGAAAAACAGAATGAAACAGAGAGGGACTACCTTGACTCGTTCAATATGAATGGCTCGTTTTCATTTTCCATTGCAAAATGCTTTGCTACAGTGTGCCCTAATGAACACAACCCTGTCATGAAATGTGTGCTGACCTTTGCCCTGAGGTCAGGAGAGGTTAGGAGGCGGGAGAGCGTGTCCCCAATGAACACCAGCTTGTGTGCCGTCACGATCAAACTCTTCCCCCGGGAAACAAAGACGCGGGGAGGTTGGTTCCCCTGCACGGTGCTGAAGAGCACGTCAATGGAGTCGGCCAGGCAGGAGAGGTGGGATAGAGACTGGGAGGAGTAGAAGGAGAGCAACTCTGAGTCCTCCAGAGAAAGGGAGACGGGCAAAGGAGGGGAGGGGCTCAACTGGGTGGAGAGAAAGACAGACAAGAGACAGAGTGAGATAGAGCCATCATTGTTTGGGTAAAGAATGAACATGGTCACTCATGGAACTGACATTTATTGTGTCATGGGCCCCAATAGTCTATTATGTCAAATTCTTAGAATCACAGATGGCCTCTTGTTGTGTGCCTATGATGCAAGTGGATGCAACCTAAGCCTACAGATTGAGCGAGCGAAAAAAGGCAGACAGAGGAAAATCAGAGAAAAGATGGAGAGAAACGAAAGAGACGTTGAGATTTAGTGAGAGATACTGTTAAGGTGTAAACAATTTGGTTAATCCAGGCAGGTCACTGGATATAAAGGGACACAGAGAGAACAAATCTAACTTTGCAACATTTTGTCTGTGATTTTCGTTGTAGGCAGAGCTAGAGCACAACAGAGTAGAATTCTATTGCCGGGGGTAGCCCACGAGCAGTCTTTGAATCACCCGCGTGTGAATGCGCTTTTCAGATCAGTTCAGATCGGAGCGCAGTGCAGCGCGCGTGTGTACATTTGTTGATATTCTTTGCTAGTTAGCAAGTTATTAGCCCAGTTATTGATAAGTATATGTCAGCTAAGGGGAGTTACTGCTTCCTACAAGAGCACAAAACGTATAGGCTACATTTCAAGCTATCTTTGAAAAGCCAGGCTGGTAAAAAGCTTATGTCTTTAAAAAAAGGGACAGTGTTGTATTTTGAGACAGGCTTGAATATGCAAATAAGCCAATAGGCAGAGGGGTAGCCTACATTGTCTAATTCTCTGTATGACAATAATAATTTATTTTAATTTGTAAAGTGGTTTCTTGCATCATACAACACAATGCAATTCTTACAACGTTCAAGTTTCCGCTCACAAGACCTAAAATTTGCTCAGTGCCCCAAAAAATGTGAGGGAACATTGGTTAGAGCTCATCAGTAAATACACAGAGAGAATCAATGATTCTTCTGAGTGTGTAGTGAGTGTACGTGGTGTGAAAGTGAGAATGTTGTGTGGTGATTGGTGTGAAAATGGAGTGTGTGTGAGAGAATGAGATTGTGTGAGCGTTTGTGTGACAATTGGACAGTACGTGTGGTGTGAGAATGATTATGTGTGTTTTACCCTAGGCTCTGTGGTGTGGAGGGTCTGGTTTGACCTATTCTCTGTCTGGGCATCTGAGCGAGGCTCTGGCTTTCCCTGAGGATGAAAAGATAAGAGATAGATACATCACTTTTACACACACAGCTATGGGCCCAGACGGCAGATATTGTCTATTAAAACTACTGGATAAAACAATCCAGCAAGCGCACAATAAAGGTGTCTGCTTAATGAGTAAAACGCAATGGAAAATGCAGACAAGTGCCAGCAAGACTGAACACTGACCTGCAGTTTCACGTATCCCACACTGTCTCCAAGAGGAAGTGGTGCCGGAGCGGGGGTCAGACCTATTCCTGCGTACTCGTTCCCCATCCCCTCCTCTCCGTCGCTCTGCCCCACAGTGATGGACATGGTCACAGAGGAGGGTTGTGCGGGGGGCAGGGGGAATGCCGGCTGGGGGGTGGGGGGTAAGGGTCTCTCCTGGATCCAGCTACCCTTACGTGGTCCCATACCACTCCCTACGGGTTTCACCTCGGCCACGGGCAGGGCGGGTAGGGGTCTTCGGGAGAGGGAGTCCTGGGAAGGGAGGCGGGGCCGCCCCTGGGTCTGAAATAGGATGGTGGAGTCCTCCAGCGCTCGTTGGACCATAGAGAGAAGAGTGTCCGACGGAGGGGCGTGGCCACCGGCGGACAAAGCAGGAAGTAGGTCTGAAAGGCGGGCCCAAGCCTGTTGGAGAGGGGGAGGGACCTCACTGGGTTGACTTGACTTCCAGACGGACAGGATCTCAGCCAATGAGGTTGCCAGGTCCCTCGAGGAGGCAGGTGCACCCGAGGCAGAGCTAAGCACCGATTGGACAAGGCCCGTAAGCGAGGTCCTCCATTGGACGTCACCAGACCCATTACTGGATACAGATAACCGACGTGTGGAAGACGAAGACGACGTCGACATCGTCGAAGAGGGCAACACGTCAAGGGTGAGAGCGGGCATGTCGTAGATGCCACAGTCCGGCTCGGAGGTAGACCCCGGGTCACTGCCCTCGCCTAGCCCAAGCGGAGCCCTCTTCCCTGAGCCAGGGACAGAGTAGACCTGGCCGTGCTCCGTCTCCTCCAAGGGGGCGATGGTGGACATGTCCCCCAGGCCCAGGGGTAGGCCAGGAAGGGTTGGGAGGCTGTAAACGTCCTCCTCCGATTCATCAGTAATAACAGAAGTTGGGGCGTTGTAGGTCTGCTGCTGGGGGTCTGACGATGTGTTAAGTATTATGGTGGGAACATCATAGACCTGAGAGACAGAAGGAGAGAAAGATAGAAAGAGATCTCCCATTACCTTATTGAAGTCCCTTCTAAATCAGTCCTTCTAAGGTCATTAGTACTGTCTGTTATGCATGTATATCTAGGGGGGAGAAAAGAGGAGGAACTGTTTAGCCTGGCTTATACATTCCCACTGCATTAAACAGCTGGGTGTGACGGGAGAAAATCCAGCACAGTATTCAGACCAGACAGACTGGATTGCAGCAGACAGCGAAACAGGTGTGACAGAGTGGCAGAGAGAGAGAGGGGCTGTGGGAGGAAGGAAAGGTGGAGGAAAGTTGAGAGCTGGAGGAAAGCGGGGGGCAGGGAGAGAGGGGATGGGGGGAGTGAGGGGAAAGGGAGAGGCTGAGAGAGGGAATAACAGTGAGGGAAATTGAGAGCTGAGGGGGGGGGGGGGGGGGGGGGGGGGGGGGGGGGGGGGGGGGGGTTTTTTTTTTGGGGGTTTTTGTTTTATTTTTTTTTTTTTTTTGGTTTTTTTTTTTTTTTTTTTTTTCTTTTTTTTTTTTTTTTTTTTTTTTTTTTTTTTTTTTTTTTTTTTTTTTTTTTTTTTTTTGGTTTTTTTTTTTTTTTGTTTTTGTTTTTTTTTTTGTTTTGTTTTTTTTTTTTTTTTTTTTTTTTTTTTTTTTGTGGGGGGGGTGGGGTTTTTGTTTTTGAGGAGCGAAAAGGCAGACAGAGGAAAATCAGAGAAAAGATGGAGAGAAACGAAAGAGACGTTGAGATTTAGTGAGAGATACTGTTAAGGTAAACAAGTTGAGTTAATCCAGGCAGGTTGAAACTGGATAAAGGGACACAGAGAGAGCAGGTTTACTGTCAACAGTTAGGTAGATCAATGTTGAGTCACTGGACTGAAGGACTGAAGGACAGTCCGAGCCAATGTTCCCTCTAAGCTGAGTGCGTGCGTGGCTGCGCACCTCCTCCAGGACTGCCGCGCAGAAGAAATGCCAGGCCGAGCAGAGACGCAAGAGATTGAACTTCACTGAGTTCGCCCCATTAGTTTGGACTATATAGACCAACGTTTTTTCTGTGATCGAATCAACATTATTTCAGCACGTTTTAAATGCAACAAACCAAAACAAATCTAACTTTGCAACATTTTGTCTGTGATTTTCGTTGTAGGCAGAGCTAGAGCACAACAGAGTAGAATTCTATTGCCGGGGGTAGCCCACGAGCAGTCTTTGAATCACCCGCGTGTGAATGCGCTTTTCAGATCAGTTCAGATCGGAGCGCAGTGCAGCGCGCGTGTGTACATTTGTTGATATTCTTTGCTAGTTAGCAAGTTATTAGCCCAGTTATTGATAAGTATATGTCAGCTAAGGGGAGTTACTGCTTCCTACAAGAGCACAAAACGTATAGGCTACATTTCAAGCTATCTTTGAAAAGCCAGGCTGGTAAAAAGCTTATGTCTTTAAAAAAAGGGACAGTGTTGTATTTTGAGACAGGCTTGAATATGCAAATAAGCCAATAGGCAGAGGGGTAGCCTACATTGTCTAATTCTCTGTATGACAATAATAATTTATTTTAATTTGTAAAGTGGTTTCTTGCATCATACAACACAATGCAATTCTTACAACGTTCAAGTTTCCGCTCACAAGACCTAAAATTTGCTCAGTGCCCCAAAAAATGTGAGGGAACATTGGTTAGAGCTCATCAGTAATACACAGAGAGAATCAATGATTCTTCTGAGTGTGTAGTGAGTGTACGTGGTGTGAAAGTGAGAATGTTGTGTGGTGATTGGTGTGAAAATGGAGTGTGTGTGAGAGAATGAGATTGTGTGAGCGTTTGTGTGACAATTGGACAGTACGTGTGGTGTGAGAATGATTATGTGTGTTTTACCCTAGGCTCTGTGGTGTGGAGGGTCTGGTTTGACCTATTCTCTGTCTGGGCATCTGAGCGAGGCTCTGGCTTTCCCTGAGGATGAAAAGATAAGAGATAGATACATCACTTTTACACACACAGCTATGGGCCCAGACGGCAGATATTGTCTATTAAAACTACTGGATAAAACAATCCAGCAAGCGCACAATAAAGGTGTCTGCTTAATGAGTAAAACGCAATGGAAAATGCAGACAAGTGCCAGCAAGACTGAACACTGACCTGCAGTTTCACGTATCCCACACTGTCTCCAAGAGGAAGTGGTGCCGGAGCGGGGGTCAGACCTATTCCTGCGTACTCGTTCCCCATCCCCTCCTCTCCGTCGCTCTGCCCCACAGTGATGGACATGGTCACAGAGGAGGGTTGTGCGGGGGGCAGGGGGAATGCCGGCTGGGGGGTGGGGGGTAAGGGTCTCTCCTGGATCCAGCTACCCTTACGTGGTCCCATACCACTCCCTACGGGTTTCACCTCGGCCACGGGCAGGGCGGGGTAGGGGTCTTCGGGAGAGGGAGTCCTGGGAAGGGAGGCGGGGGCCGCCCCTGGGTCTGAAATAGGATGGTGGAGTCCTCCAGCGCTCGTTGGACCATAGAGAGAAGAGTGTCCGACGGAGGGGCGTGGCCACCGGCGGACAAAGCAGGAAGTAGGTCTGAAAGGCGGGCCCAAGCCTGTTGGAGAGGGGGAGGGACCTCACTGGGTTGACTTGACTTCCAGACGGACAGGATCTCAGCCAATGAGGTTGCCAGGTCCCTCGAGGAGGCAGGTGCACCCGAGGCAGAGCTAAGCACCGATTGGACAAGGCCCGTAAGCGAGGTCCTCCATTGGACGTCACCAGACCCATTACTGGATACAGATAACCGACGTGTGGAAGACGAAGACGACGTCGACATCGTCGAAGAGGGCAACACGTCAAGGGTGAGAGCGGGCATGTCGTAGATGCCACAGTCCGGCTCGGAGGTAGACCCCGGGTCACTGCCCTCGCCTAGCCCAAGCGGAGCCCTCTTCCCTGAGCCAGGGACAGAGTAGACCTGGCCGTGCTCCGTCTCCTCCAAGGGGGCGATGGTGGACATGTCCCCCAGGCCCAGGGGTAGGCCAGGAAGGGTTGGGAGGCTGTAAACGTCCTCCTCCGATTCATCAGTAATAACAGAAGTTGGGGCGTTGTAGGTCTGCTGCTGGGGGTCTGACGATGTGTTAAGTATTATGGTGGGAACATCATAGACCTGAGAGACAGAAGGAGAGAAAGATAGAAAGAGATCTCCCATTACCGTTATTGAAGTCATTCTAAATCAGTCATTCTAAGGTCATTAGTACTGTCTGTTATGCATGTATATTCTAGGGAGGAGAAAAGAGGAGGAGACTGTTTAGCCTGGCTTATACATTCCCACTGCAATATAAACAGCTGGGTGTGACAGGGAGAAAATCGCAGCAGCAGTATTCAGACCAGACAGACTGGATTGCAGCAGACAGCGAAACAGGTGTGACAGAGTGGCAGAGAGAGAGAGGGGCTGTGGGAGGAAGGAAAAGGTGGAGGAAAGTTGAGAGCTGAGAGAGAAAGCGGGGGTCAGGGAGAGAGAGGGATGGGGGGAGTGAGGGGGAAAGGGAGAGGCTGAGAGAGGGAAGAAAGGTGAGGGAAAGTGAGAGGAGGAGGGGGGGGAAAGTGAGAGGCTGAAAAGAGGAGGGGGGGGGAGAAGGGAGTGAGAGAGAGGAGGGAGAAAAAGAGGGGGAGAGAGGAGAGAGAGAAATGTATGTACGTGGAGGAGGAGGACTCAGAACATAGGTGCAGTGAGGGGGAGAAGGGAGCGTAGTAATAGATTATAGATGCTTACTGACCTTTAGCCAAAGGCTACGCTGCGCTGCATACATTTGTCTTGTGTAGGGTATCCCTGGAGATCGAGACCACACTGACGTACAAGGCCGTTAACCAGTGAGCTACAGATGACACATGGTAATGTCGTAGAGATTCGATACTAAGTTTCCTCAGATTGGGTCAGTTTTCCCGGGATGTGAGACCGGGGCTAGATGTGCTATCAAACCAGTGCTGTGAGGGCGGCCACAACTATGTGTAGGGTATACACCAGAAAATCAGAACACAAGAGTCACGCATTTATAAACTTAACACGTGTTATAAGCACAGGAAGTCAGATCTATCGTTCACGCAGGTCTTAGTAGAGCATTGTGCATTACTTGCTGGTTCATCCCAGCGACTATGAAAAGTGTCTAAGACTTTCCCAATTGTCTTAGATAAGAGCGTCTGCTTAAAATGACGTAAATGTCAAATGTAAATTGACATAGCTAAGTTTCCATCCAATTGGCGCCAGATTTTCCCACCAGTGGTGTGTTTCAACCATGCTGACTTGTGGATAAAAACCAGTGTGTGAAGATGTAGTGCACACAAAATGGATTTTTCGCTTAAGGTAGTACCGAATAAAAATCGAATCTTCAATGTGTTTCCATCGCATTTTCAACTCTACCGTTCATTTTGTCACAAAAACTGTTAAGTAGCAAATGTGCCTACTCTGGTCTTGCCGCGTGGGCTCTAGCCAACAGCTGGCTGATACAGTGCAGGTAGGCTGTGAGAGTAGGCTAGTCTACATGATGAGATTATTATGGATAAAAGTGAGAATATTTGTATTTGTCAAACGGCAGTCAAGCATCGATCAGAATAAGACCCTTTATATTTATTGGAAAGAAGCATCACTGTGCACTTTCACCACCCTGTGAAGTTCATCATAACTTATTTCATCTGTAGCGTAATAAACTGCATGCTTTCCTGAGTCCTAGTGGAAGGCCCACACACCATGTCATCGCAACTCCAAGTTTACTTCCATATGATGGTTATTACATCAATATTTGCACATTAAGGAGTTTCCACCGCCATTTCTCACATAATTAATTTTACTGACACAAAAAGATCCCACCATGTCGAACGAACAAATTATCTGTGCATTTATCAAGTTGTACCGAAACGTCCTGTTTCCATCACAGCTGTCGTGATTTTTTTTAAATAATACGGTATGACTTTACTCGCATTAAAACTGTGGATAGAAACGTGGTTAGTGGTTAACTAGGATTGGCGTTTTTCCTGAATACATGACTTGACAGGGAAAAACTCTGGGGCCTAATCATGACAAGAGATTGTGGAGAGAAAGAGAGGGAATAAGAGGGGAAGGATAGAAGGAGAGCAGCGACATTGAACTTGTTAATTTCTTCCCTTTCTCTCGCACCTGTTCATCCAGGCTCTCATCATCACACTCTCTGTCCTCTCCTTTCTTATTCTGCCCATTCTGCATCTTTTCATCCGACGTCATCCTTCCATCTTTGCTCTCCCGGTGCTGGGGTACAGGAGTCGACTGGGGGGTGGAGAGGACAGGCTGAGAGGTGGATACAGGGGTTCCGGATTGGGGCAAGTCTTTTCTGGTTACCCCCCTCACTGGAGGGGCTGGAGGAGGGGGCTTACGGGCAAAGTTTGGGGATCCAGGCACCCTGCCTTGTCCCCGTCCTGCTCTGGCCAGCAAAGGGGAACCCCTGAGGGGGGTAGCAGGAGCTAGCTTCCCCCTGGTGATGGGAGGGGTGGAGGGCACACCACCCTGACCACCGGGGGTCCCTGGGGTTTTGGGGGTCGCCCCTTTCAACTGAGGTTTGGGGGATCCCTGTGCGGGGACAGGTGGAGTCCTGAGAATCCCTGCTCCTACAGGGGTGGGGGTCTGGTACATCATCCCAGGGGTGTCCTGTGCCAGTTTGGATTGAGGGGTGAGGGGCTTAAGGGGGGCTCCCCCGCCCCCGTTGATCTGTGAAGGGGTGAGGCTCTGAGCCTCCAGGACCCTAGTAGTGATGGGGGTAACCTGGGTCGACACAGCCCCCCCGGCTGCCCCTCCTGTGGGGGTCTGGTAGACCTCCTCGCTGGGCAGGACAGTCCCTCTGGGGACCAGGTAACAGCCATCAGAGTGGCCTACCGCCGCTACAGTCTCCCTGGGGACCAGGTAGGTGTTGTCCTCTGGCCCCTCTGGAGCTAGACCCACCGCCCGAGGCATCCCACTGGGGGCCAGGTAGACATTCTCTGGTCCATGGTCTCCAGCCAGACCCCTGTGGTTGCTGGGGCCCGAGAGGTGTGGGGGTGGAGGGGGTCTGGTAGAGGCTCCCAGCTGAGTCTGTGCCTCTGGACCGGAGGGAGGGCGAGCGGGGGCGGCCCGTCACCCCAACGTCCCAATCGGGACAGGGGCGTGTGCCGGAGCTGGAGCGGGAGCGTGGGCGACCCCCTACCTCGGCCTGCCGGAGCACCCCTGGTCTAGAGGCGACAGGCACCGCCCCTGGGCTCTGGTACAGGGCCTCCCCCAGGCTAGGTGGGGTGCGGTAGACCCCGTCCACATCTTCTGTGGAGACTGCCGTGCGGGCCAGGGGGCCTGGGGAGAGGTACACAGAGTCCTCGCTGGGGGCGCGGCTGGGGGGTCGGGAGTCGGCCCCCGGGGCTGGGGCGGTGTGGAGGAGGCGGAGGCGGTTGGCGGGGGCGATGCCCTGGCGCCCGTGGAGGGAGCAGAGCCACCAGCCAGGACCCCCTCCCTGCTCCTGTTCTAGAACCATCAGGATGTCTCCCTTCCGGAAGGCCAGCTCCTCAGGGCTCTCTGCTGCATTGTCAAACAGGGCCTTCGCCAGCACCGTCTGAAAAATATATAACAAAGAAATAACTTATTACACAGTAATTACTCAGAAATAAGAGAGATTCACAAACAATCATCACTATCCCAGAGTTTTTCCTAGTTAAGTCACGTGGTTTGGAAAAACTCTGGGCCCTACTCATAGGGGCACATACACACTGATGATAGAAATGCATGCAGAGACAGAAATGACCTGACTTCACACTGGGAAGCACACATCTACATACTGACTGGCCTGGACATAGACAAATGCATTGACTTGATGCCAAGAAAGAGAATGAGAATAGCTAATTGTATAACAGTCTTAGTGAATAGAAGAGAAAGATGGGGTGGGAGGAGCAAAACAGAACAGTGTGGTGTGTGTGTGAGAGAGAGAGAGAGAGAGAGAGACAGAGAGAGAGAGAGAGTCATTCAGAGCACAGTCACATAATGAATAAATACATACTGATATAAGTGCTGAATCACTGCATATTCAGTTACTGCACACAGTGCTTACTTATAGGGTGAATAGAAAAGAGACAGTGAGAGGACGGAGGTCAATTATTTAAAAGACAAGAGGAGTAAATGGTAATGAGAAAAGGAAGGGAGGGAGGGAGGTAGGCAACATCTGTCCCTAGTTTGGGGTTTAATTGCCGTCCCTTGGGCCTCCTCTCATCTTCTCCTTTTCAAACCCCTAACCCCCTGGGGATTGGCTATAGAAAGACAAGCTGAGCCCGGGCCATGTTCAGTCAAGGAAACGTTTTCAAACAAAGTGAAAATAGTGTCAGATCTTGTCCAATTAGAACACAGATTTTTGTTTTCTTATTGCAAAACACATTGCTACGGTTTGCACACCGCCCAGAGATGAGAGCTCTACTCAAACACCAGCTCAAGTGGATGGAAGACAGGGCAATGTTCAATTACTTAAAAACGCATCCTTCATTCATTCCCTCCCTTCCCTGAATGACGTAATCACTGATTTGACAGTATTTGATGAGAAAAACGAAGGGATCACTTCAGCCAAATGTCCTTACACCCACCCGATCCAGTTACGTCATTGTGATTCTCCCAAAGAAGAAAGGATCATTCATTTTTTAAGTATTCAAACAGTTCCCTGGATTGAAACAGCAGTATAGTGCCATGTCACCAGTTGGGCGCCTTTCCATCTGTGCCCGCTTTACTCACCATCTCTCATACAAAAGCGTGCACACACACAGGCACACATACACCATTTATACTCACTGAGAGGGACATGTTTGCTCTTCCTCAGGCAGTGCTCCTGTCAGGATGTTGGGTCAGACAAGCTCACAAGCAGACAGGGTCCTCCTCCATCTATATCCAAGAGGTGAACTGGTGACTGCTGAAGAGTCCAAACACACGATCCAAGTTGTGTTCAAGGGAAACACCACCAGCCTCATTCAAGGCTGCAAAGGTTGAGAGATGTCCAGCTTTCTTCGTTCGCCAAAGCCCAATGGGTTCTTCTGTGTTGAGGGCATGATTGAACTGCTCCTTCTTGGCTCAGTGTTGTTGACAGTAACTGTCAAGAAAAGCCAGTTGGGCTGGATTGTGATGTCATCTTTAGATCACACTCCTGATAACCACTGAAGGAGAATCCTAGTCAGAGGAATATGATGATCAGTTATTTATGTCCTGTTACTTTGTAAACAATATTTGATGTCAATGTCTACCACTTTTATCTATAACCAATTAATAACTTCAGTACTATTCTTACCATATCCAATGTTGTGGTCACACATCTAGGTCTCATTTTGATCCCTGTAATATCGTGGAGCTGAGTAAACTTAATTTACGACATAAAGTCAGCTACTCAGAGGTTGTATCAGTGCCAGGCATTGGGATCATCCAGTAAAAATCATAGACCATGACATAGATATGACTGATTACATCAATATTTGCTAACTAACGTTAACTAGCCCCCTAATGTTAGCAAGCATCTTACCCTCTCGCTGATCAAATTAAAATATACCACGAAAAGAATGCATATCCAAGATTTTGCTAGCTAACAATTTGGCCAACATTATCCACGTATCTCAAATCGATGGAGGCTAGCTAGCTTGCTACTGTAACGTTATAACGTTAGCTAGCTGCTAGCTACAGCAGTAGCTGGCACAACAAAAAGGGGCATAAAATGCATTCGCTAGCGAGCAAACTTCAGTCAGCCTTCAAATTACACTCACTTATTGTTTTGTTAGCTAGCGTACCTACCCTTAATGCTCCAGAAAATAAAGATAACGAGCATTCCCTTATTTCAGCCGAGGGACTTTGTGGCCAACGAGGTTTTTCTTTTCTCTCTCCCTCCTGAGAAGGACTACGTAATTGGATACGATCAATAATGTACATAAACCCTGGATTGCAGATTGCCATTGAGAGGCTTTGAAGCCACCAGTCGGACATATTGGCACTTCCCAGTCGGAGCAGTCCTCCATAGGAATGAATGGAATTCTACAGTATTTCAGTGAAATTTTTCAAGAACAAAATTACATGTATTTATGTATTTTTGTTGTTGTAGTGGGGACAGTAACATTAGTACTCTCAAAAAAATATTTTAAATATATTTTCCATTGTTTTATTTGCATGTTTCGCTAACATAATATACTTTAAAAGTATGCATTCAGGTGTCTGTAATAGAATAAACGTGTCGAAAACGAATGTAGACATAAATAAGTGAAATTATATAGCTTCCCCAAAAAATGTTTTACAATGGAGTACCAAGATGACTGCGATTTGGCTTCAATACAGCGCCCCCTGTCAGACATCCAGTGTTTATACACACTATTGAATGCAACCCTCTTGCGGTAAACGGGCAAGATTTTGAGGATGGAGCCCCAGAAGCGAGACATCACTGGCTAATTTTTTCTGGTTGGGGCGGGTGGGGAGAGTAGACCAGAGCCATTGGTCTCACGCGGGAAAGCATGCGCACGCGAGACAGGGAACGCCCACTTACACAGACCGGAACCTTGACAATTTTTTTCAAACATAGTGGCTGCGATTCCGGATTTTCTTGAACCAGACTTACTGTGGCAAAAATACTGAGATTTCTGCGCATGCAGGATCCACTAGTCTACCTCCTTCAGCTGCTGCTCCGTCACTCTGTGACTCTACTGCCACTTGTACACAAAACAGTTCAAACAAACTTTGTTATTTGTCTGTTGTAACAATAGGCTATTGCAAACATAAGCACACAAGACACAAAAAGGTTGTCTAGCAATCATGTTCTTTTTTCAGGAGGGGAGTTACATGCAGCTATTTAAGCAAGCTATATGTAGCTTACACAGCAATAAATAGCAAGACACAGACAAGCCGTCAATAGCAGCGGCATCATGCCAATATGGGGCACAGGTGCACATGCCCCCTCAGATTTGCCCTGTTTAGCCCAGATAGTTTCTCAATCTCCCAACCTCATAACTAGCTACCACAACGTCATTTCAGGCTATCAATCAAGTTAGAGTAGCTATCTTGCCTAGCTATCTTAGCTGACATGCCTGCTGGCAAGGTTGGTAGACTTTAGAAAAGCAACCAATAACTAAATGTACTGAATAAGACTCACATTCCTTTCAATCTTTACCCAGATTTTAGCAGAGATGCAGAGAAGCATATTTAGGAGGATACAGTCAGGAGGACAGCTCAAGAGGTATGCTTAGATATACAGAAAAAATGGGGGAGATGGCGCCGGAGGAGATGGCTGCCGTTTTATGGCCCTCTAACCAATTGTGCTATTATGTGTGTTTTTTCGCGTTATTTGTCATTTATTCTGTACATAATGTTTCTGTCACCGTCTCTTATCACCAAAACGAGCTTCTGGATATCAGGACAGCGATTACTCACCTCGTATTAGACGAAGATTTTTTCTTCAACGAGTCGGACGCGAAGGATATTCTACAGACACCCGACAAGGCCCAAATCCCTGTCATTCGCATGAGAAAGAGACAGAGATATCGTGGATGTAGGTCGGGGTGCCTTGTAAGGATCCGACGGCGACCGAGTAATCTGCCTCTTCCATCAATCCTATTAGCCAACGTACAATCATTGGAAAACAAAATGGACGACCTAAGATCAAGGATATCCTACCAACGGGACATTCAAAACTGTAATATCTTATGTTTCACCGAGTCGTGGCTGAATGACGACATGGATAACATACAGCTGGCGGGATATACGCTACATCGGCAGGATAGAACGGCTGACTCCAGTAAGACAAGGGGTGGCGGTCTGTGTATATTTGTAAACAACAGCTGGTGCATACAATCTAATACTAAGGAAGTCTCAAGGTTTTGCTCGGCTGAGGTAGAGTATCTCATGATAAGCTGTAGAACACACTATTTACCAAGAGATTTTTCTTCTATATTTTTCATAGCTGTCTATTTACCACCACAAACCGATGCTGGCACTAAGATTGCACTCAAGGAGCTGTATAAGGCCATAAGCAAACAGGAAAACGCTCATCCAAAGGCAGCGCTCCTGGTGGCCGGGGACTTAAATGCAGGGAAACTTAAATCCGTTCTACCTAATTTCTACCAGCATGTTAAATGTGCAACCAGAGGAAAAAAACTCTAGACCACCTTTACTCCACACACAGAGACGCATACAAAGCTCTCCCTCGCCCTCCATTTGGCAAATCTGACCATAATTATATCTTCCAGATTCCTGCTTATAAGCAAAAACTAAAGCAGGAAGCACCAGTGACTCGGTTAATAAGGAAGTGGTCAGATGAGGAAATGCTAAGCTACAGGACTGTTTTGCTAGCACAGACAGGAATATGTTCCGGAATTCTTCCGCTGGCATTGAGGAGTACACCAGATCAGTCACTGGCTTCATCAATAAGTGCATTGATGACGTCGTCCCCACAGTGACCGTACGTACATACCCCAACCAGAAGCCATGGATTACAGGCAACATCCGCACTGGGTAGAGCTTCCGCTTTCAAGGAGTGGGACTCTAACCCGGACGCTTATAACAAATCGCTATGCCCTCCGACGAACCATCAGGCAAAGAGTCAATACAGGACTAAGATTGAATCGTACTACACCGGCTCTGATGCTCGTCGGTTGTGGCAGGGCTTGCAAACTATTACAGACTACAAAGGGAAGCACAGCCGCGAGCTGCTTAGTGATACGAGTCTACCAGACGAGCTAAATCACTTCTATGCTCGCTTTGAGGCAAGCAACACTGAATCATGCATGAGAGCATCAGCTGTTCCGGATGACTATGTGATCACGCTCTCCGTAGCCGATGTGAGTAAGACTTTTAAGCAGGTCAACATTCACAAGGCCGCAGGGCCTGACAGATTACCAGGATGTGTATTCCGAACATGCGCTGACCAACTGGCAAGTTTCTTCACTGACATTTTCAACATGTCCCTGACTGAGTCTATAAAACCAATATATTTCAAGCAGACCACCATAGTCCCTGTGCCCAAGAACACTAAGATAACCTGCCTAAATGACTACCGACCCGTAGCACTCAGGTTTGTAGCCATGAAGTGCTTTGAAAGGCTGATCATGGCTCACATCAACACCATTATCCAAGAAGACCTAGACCCACTTCAATTTGCATACTGCCCCAACAGATCCACAGATGATGCAATCTCTACTTTTGCACACCACACTGCCCTTTCCCACCTGGACAAGAGGTACACTTACGTGAGAATGCTATTCATTGACTACAGCTCAAAGTTCAACACCATAGTGCCCACAAAGCTCAGCACTAAGCTAAAGTCCCTGGGACTAAACACTTCCCTCTGCAACTGGATCCTGGACTTCCTGACGGGCCGCCTCCAGGTGGTAAGGGTAGGTAACAATACATCTGCCATGCTGATCCTCAACACGGGGGCCCCTCAGGGGTGCGTGCTCAGTCCCCTCCTGTACTCCCTGTTCACCCATGACTGCATGGCCAGGCACGACTCCAACACCATCATTAAGTTTGCCGACGACACAACAGTGGTAGGCCGGATCACCGACAACGATGAGACAGCCTATAGGGAGGGGGTCAGAGACCTGGCCGTGTGGTGCCAGGATAACAACCTCTCCCTCAACGTGATCAAGACAAAGGAGATGATTGTGGACTACAGGAAAAAAAAGAGGACTGAGCACACCCCCATTCTCATCGACGGGGCTGCAGTTAAACAGGTTGAGAGCTTCAAGTTCCTTGGTGTCCACATCACCAACAAACTATCATGGTCCAAACACACCAAGGCAGTCGTGAAGAGGGCACGACAAAGCCTATTCCCCCTCAAAAGACTGGAAATATTTGGCATGGGTCCTCAGATCCTCAAAAAGTTCTACAGCTGCACCATCGAGAGCATCCTGACTGGTTGCATCACCGCCTGGTATGGCAACTGCTCAGCCTCCGACCGCAAGGCACTCCTGAGGGTAGTGCGTACAGCCCAGTACATCACTGGGGCCAAGCTTCCTGCCATCCAGGACCTCTATACCAGGCGGTGTCAGAGGAAGGCCCTAAAAATTGTCAAAGACTCCAGCCACCCTAGTCATAGATTGTTCTCTCTGCTACCGCACGGCAAGCGGTACCAGAGCGCCAAGTCTAGGTCCAAAAGGCTTCTTAACAGCTTCTACCCCCAAGCCATAAGACTCCTGAACAGCTAATCATGGCTACCCAGACTATTTGCATTGTTTATTATCTATGCATAGTCACTTTAACTCTACCCACATGTACATATTACCTCAATTACCCCGACTAACCGGTGCCTCCGCACATTGACTCTGTACCGGTACCCCCCTGTATATAGCCTCCCTACTGTTATTTTATTTGACTGCTGCTCTTTAATTATTTGTTATTTTTATTCTTTACTTATCTATTTTTTACTTAATACTTTTTTTTCTTCTTAAAACTGCATTGTTGGTGAAGGGCTTGTAAGTAAGCATTTCACTGTAAGATCTACACCTCTTGTATTTGGCGCATGTGGCAAATAACATTTGATTTGATTTGATTTGAAATATATACATTGAATTAAGCATAATGATTATGGCTTTATATTGCAGGAAAAAGCTGTTTCGGGTGTTTGAAAATGGCAAAATTCTCCACCTTCTGGACTGGTGGCCTAACCCAGGGTAGGACTTTTATTTTGGAAAAATGCCGGAAACGCTGTGTCTCTCGTCTTTAAACTCGTGTTTTTGTCACTGGACTGAACGGACTCAAAAACAGAGGTAGACTACTTTTTAAATGTTATATATATAAACCAACGTTACGCCCAAACCTTGATTATTGGCTTTTCATGTAGCTGTTGTTGAAGGGAAGGCCATCTCTTTGCATTTTGAATTCAGCACAAACTAAAGGCTGTTGTAGTCGCATGCTTGCACAATTCAACTTTCACCTAATTTAATCTCTTCAAACTCGTCGACCACTTGACAACTACAATAAATACAGTTTATGTCTTAGTTACTAGCTCCATTAGTTATAGCAGACTAAACGTAACTCCACGATTTACGATGGAGTTGAGCGGTGATTAGTGTAATTGCGGGCTATTATTTGAGTGCTGAAATCAGTAGTTTTTGACAAAAACACTAGTGACCGCACAACTCCATCGTAAATCCTGGAGTTGAGTTTAATCGGCTACCTTAGTTATTGCATTGCTTTATCCGTGATATAAAAAAAGATGTCCGTTTTATGTTTTGAAAGGTTCAGTTGTGTTTTGCATCCTGAATTTGTGAGCTGTATGTGTGTGCATTGAGAAATGTTCTCTCTTTACAGGTAATGCTGAGGTGTCTTGTTAGCAGGTGCCTTTTGACCAATCCTGTCGCAGGTCAAACAAGAAAGATGTCAGGAGTCAGTCTCGCTGGGTCTCAAAGCAGTCTTGCAGGGAAGGTTGCCATAGTCACTGCCTCCACAGATGGGTAAGGAATAGCTGTACCAACCGTTTTGCTGGGGATGTATTTAATTTGTTTATACTGAATTGCTCTCCACTTTGCCTGACCTGGAAAAAATCTGGTCACCTAGTTAGCCTTTATTGTTTAACTAAGGTATATGTACAGTATAGGGGCCAGAGTTTTCCATGATTAGGTCATGCTGGCAGGAAAACGCTCGGCCCTACAGTATATCATGCAAAATATACATGCCTCTTTCTTCTACTGACTGAGACTTGTGGCATCTCTTCCAGAATCGGTTTGGCTGCAGCCCAGGCTCTAGGGCAGAGAGGGGCTCACGTTGTGGTGAGTAGCAGATGCCAGTCAAATGTCGACAAGGCCGTGGCACTACTGCAGAGTGAGAAGATACAAGTGACCGGGACGACTTGCAACGTTGGGAATAGTGAAGACAGAGCTAGACTGGTTAATATGGTAAAGTCCATACATTTTGATCCCATTCTAACAGTTGCATCCAGAGTAGACATCAATTGATAATTCTGGCTTGGCCTTATACAGGGAGACTGTTAATACATAATCACAGGCACAGCCATCAGTCATAAGCCTAAACTGAATTTCAGTGTTATGATTTTCTGTTTTGATGTTCAGACAGTGGAACAGTGTGGTGGTGTGGACATCTTTGTTTCGAACGCAGCAGTCAACCCTTTCTTTGGAAACATTATGGACTCTACAGAAGCAGTTTGGGATAAGGTGTGTGGCTGGCACCCCTATTATCTAGGTCAGTGTTTCTTAATCTTGGTCCTGGGTACCCAAGGGGTTCACATTTTATTTTTTGCCCCAGCACTACACACCTGATTCAAATGATCAACTCTTCCTCAAGCGTTGATGATTTTAATCAGGTTTGTAGTGCCAAGGCAAACACAAAAATGTGAACCCCTTTGTGTCCCCAGGACCAGGATTAAGAAACACTAATTTAAATAATCAAACACAAAATGTATAAAATAACCATACATTTAAGAAGATGTAGTTTCATTGAGCCTGAGAAGGATGATAGCATATGAGAAAAGTGGTATTTGAGCTATATCCAAAAGAGTGTTGCGATATCAGCTGATTTATATTGTGCACTTCACACAGATCCTGGATGTGAATGTAAAGTCGGCCTTTCTTATGACCCAATTGGTGGTGCCTCACTTGAAGAGGGGGTAAGAGAGAGAAATATTTAGGAAAGTGTTTTGTGAGCTATAACAATGCATGTCCATGGCATGTCTGTTTTCCAGGGGTGGGAGTGTTGTGTTCGTGTCCTCTGTCGCTGGGTACCAGCCAATGCAGGTAAGCTCTTCTGATTTGCCCTCTAAATGCTTCTTGGTTTGATCATTAGACCATTTGCATTGTTATGGAGAATTCTTCCTTTCTTTGACCTCCCCACCACCAGGCCCTGGGCCCTTATAGCGTGAGTAAGACGGCCCTGTTGGGACTAACTAGAGCCCTGGCCCCTGAACTGGCCCAGTGCCACATCCGGGTCAACTGTGTGGCCCCCGGCGTCATCAAGACCACCTTCAGCCAAGCAGTGAGGACCCCCTCCCTTTCTATTCTGTCATCTTTACCTGTGTACTCTTTTCTCTTCACATTTACTTACCCTCACTCCTCTTCCTGTCACACATTTATCCTTTGTTTCCCTGTCTTCTTCTATAATACATACAGCGAGAAGGGAGTTTTGACGATTCTGTGTTCTCTCTCAGTTGTGGCAGGACGAAGACATTGTGGACGAGTTCAAGAAGCAGCTTAGCATTAAAAGGTTGCCTTCAACTTCATTCTTGGGTGTATCGCTTAGTTTAGGTTACATTCTTACCCTCAAGTGTTGTTGTTTTAGTGACGTGTGGCCACGTCTCATTGTGACTGAATTGGTCGAATTTGTGACACGGTCTGTGTGTTGTATTGTGGTCAATGTAGTGTTTGATGATCGATTTGATTTATTTTAGTGCCGTACACCATTAAGTACTCCGACACTATTCATCAAGTACTCCAAACAAAATAATATTACAAATTAAATGCATAATCGTAGCATGTACAACTACCACCTTGTCACATAAGGTTATTTCATACAAAAAAGACATCCATTCTTGTATTATTCTCCCAGGTTTGGCAAGCCAGAGGAGATAGGTGGAGTAATCGCTTTCCTGTGCTCGAAGGACGCGTCTTACATCACTGGAGAGACAATCACTGTGACTGGAGGGATGAGCTGCAGACTGTGAGGCTGATCGGCTGGAAAGTGTTAATAGAATCTGGCAACACTGACTGTGACACTCAAAGGAAACAATGCTTTTGTAATATAATAATGGGCTGTAAGACAGGAAGATTCACTATACATTTCAGAGTAATTTCTTCCTCTCAAAGTCTAATGACCTGAGAACTCGAAGCCAGGAAGTGATGGGGAAGTGGACAGTCTTGACACCACTGCTGATATTCTTTCTGGGTATGTTTTTCAGTGGGCACTATACCATGCAGTGAGTTAACGAATAAACGGCATCTTTTTTACTATGTTTTAAAGATCCGTCACAGCACATTGTAAGCATTTCTGAGCTCACATTTAGGGTCCAAACTCAGGCCAGTTTTAACTCCCACAATCTCATCCCATTTGGAACTATACCTACATTGCCTTAATAAAAAGGACTACACTGCTATTCATGTTTTTGATTATTGTACTTCATTAATACAGAACTACATTGACATTTTAGTCATTTAGCAGACGCTCTTATCCAGAGCGACTTAAAGTTAGTGAGTACATACATTTTCATACTGGCCCCCAATGGGAAACGAACCCACAACCCTGGCATTGCAATCGCCATGCTCTACCAACTAAGCTACAGGGGACCTACATGGGAATTAGTGAAACCAAGAGAATTGTGTATGTAAATTATAAAATGACAGCCAAAATAGTTTAATACATTTTATTGTAGTTCTTTACACAGTAATAAAGACATTGGATATGTGACAAAGGTACTACTAAATTATTTGGCAGATGCTTCATTTACATTTGATTCGTGATCAGAAAATCTGTCATGTCATTACAGCTATTAGAATACGGTTGTATGAAAGGTTAGATGACAAGATACAAAAAGTACACATTAAAACACCACTCATTTACAGTGCAATAGAGTAAATGAATGGACATATTTGACAAATACTTAATTGAAAAACTACATTAGCAAAACTATTTTCTACAAGTTGTCTCAGTTATCACAACCAGGCATCAGTATCTGAATATATTGAGCTGAAATAATCTGTTGAACAATTTAACTGACAATTATTACTTAATTGTCAGAGTTATAATTGATAATAATTGGAAATGGAAAAATACATTAGCAAAACTTCTCAACCAATATGTGAAAGCTCTTGCCTCAGTTATCAACGTCTCGATATTACCATGACCCCTAAAATAAAATGTGCTGGCACAGCTGAACTCTTGACTATTATTACAACACACAGGTTGTAAAGTATTGGTGACATAGGTCAATCCACTTGATTTCAAAATAAAAGTCCCACAGGTTTTAAAATAATGCTTATTGCAAAGTGATTCAGATACAAAGAATCCTAAAACTGCCAGTCATTCACTTTTACAACCATGGTTGTGTTCAGTTGGCCAAACCGTAGCAAAATGTTTTTGCAGCAGGAAACAAATCTGTGTTCATATTGGAAAAGTTCAGATGGTACCCTTCCTGTTTCAAAACGTTTTCCACCTACTGAATACAATTCATATTTTGCTCCCCATGGATGCGTGTGTCATCTGTGTCCGTTGCCAGGAGACAGCAGGTTGCGTCGGGCCAGGCCGGGCTTCCAGAACTCCCTGAGGGTGGGTACATAGGTGTCGTGCTTGGTCCTGTAGTAACGCTTCATAAACAGCTAGGGGAGACAGAGCACATTAGAAAGACAAGGTAGTGGTAGTAGTTGCAGTAGTAGTCCACTTTTTATCCCACAATGGGAAATTGGTTTGTGGCCATTTTAAAAATATATGCCAAACATGATATTGGATCATAACAATAACAGCAGTAGGGTCATGATCAGTAGAGGCAACATTTTGAAACAATAAAATAGTACTTTAACTTTTTTGTTGTCCTCAGTTGAAAATGTTTTGTTACGATGTAACCTACTGAACATGAGAGAACTAAACGTGCATCTCGATATTCTAAAGCAGCTTCAACAGGATCACTTCTTACCCTGCCTTTGAAATTCTTTGTCGCTTCATCCTCTGAATCTCCAATGATGTCATCAGTGTCACTGGTTACTGGCGAGGTCAGCATTTCTAGATGGAGACAAGATGGAAAAACACAAGGCTTAAAATAACAATCTAAGAGTGTTACTAGGTTACCAGTGCACTGACAAAACTAATTAATAAAACAGTACAACTATGAGTTCATGCTCACAGAAATGTTTCATATTTTGGGGGTGGGGAGATATTACCTGTGCTTCTTCTCGTTTGAGGCAGAGGGACAATGGAGGGAGAGCTAACTGAAGGAAAGACACAGTTCCTGAAAAATGGGAGGTGTAACAATGATGAGTAAAAGTCCTACATTTCAGTTATTGGACATCCTTTTACACAATCAATCATTATGGCTCTAGTTTTTGTATTAGTACTAATGGTATTTTACTAGTTTAGTTGCCAAATCTGTTTGTGCTTTAATCAATTCCACAATTGTATGTCGTCATACCATGTATGAGATGACAATGAACAACAGGAGTTGGCAAAAAAAAAAAACACAGCCAGATCTGACAACCAGGCTAGTATAAGAAGTTATTATTGGTTGTTTAACTAAATCAGCACCTGTCTTTCTCTTACTCTTTGTCAGCTGATGCTGGAAGCTCCACATCTAGGGTCAATGAGCTGTCATTCAACTTCCGTTGCCGGGTCGAAGGAATCCGACGCGCCGTTATCCTCGGCCTGTTGTTCTGTCCCCATGGAGACCTCCCTGCCCCTGCTGTTGGTGTCCCGTTGCTGCGGGAAGGAGTAGGAGGTTGCGACCTCACAGGTGCGGTGATGTCTGTGGAAGTCAGTCGGGGGATGAGCACTCTGGGTTGGTTGCGCAGACAGGATGTGATGTAAGAGCAGAGGCGCTGGTCTTCCGGAAACTTGAGGCCTGCGATCCCCAACTGGACCAAACAGTCCCTTAGAAGGTCTCCCTCAGTCTCTTCATCTATACCACTCGTCGTATCCTTCTCTTCACTCTCTCCATCTGTAACTAACTCTTCCCCACGCCCTCTCCTGAGCATTCTTTTACTCTCTCTATCTCTCGCACTCCTCCTCCTCTTCCTCCCTCTTCTCATGACTTTCACCTCCTCGTCAGATTCCTCTTCCCTACTTTCCACCTCAGTATATTTTGACCTCGCCGTTGACTCAGCTTCCTCCTCCACTTCTCTTGAATCTGATTGGATAGTAACTTCTTCCTTGCAAGTTCTTGCCCTCTTATTGGCTGAAGCCATGACTGGCAGGTCTTCATTGCAAATCCCACCAATCACAGGCGTGATGGGCAATGACCTGTTTTGTGTCTGTCTGTGATTGGTCAATGGGGTTAAAGTCCGAGGGCTTGGGGTGGCAACAAAGGCAGGCTTATATCCTGATTGTTCGCTTTGCTGAGATCTTCCAGAGGGAGGGAGAGACAGGGATGAGAGGATGGAGTCGCCCATACACGGAGGAAGAGAAGCTGAAAGGAGATAACAGACTGATGAAGTTAGCTGATACGTTAAAACACCTAACCAGGTGTCGTGAGATATGGCTGGCGACTCCAATGTAGTCGGCCTGGAACACACCCTGCGTAGACCCACCCGCAGAATCCAGGTGTCCCAGGCAGATCTGGTGCTGGAGCAGGGTCCTCAGGAGCTGGGGTTGGGAGGCAGCCTGCGCACACTCCTCCAAGACAGGAGGGGCAGTAGTGAGCCAGGACACTGTCTGAGCCAGGTTAGGCACTGGGAGAAGTTGGTTCATTCTGAGCAGGAACTCCCACAGCAGTTTCTCCAGTTCCTGGTCAAACTGAGGGCCATACTCTGAAGGAAACTCCACCTGAAGGGAAGAAGAGAGAAGAGAGAGGGGAAAGAGAGAAAGGGACAAACAGAGAGAGTGAGTGTGTGAGAGAAAGGGGGAGAGAAAGAGGGAGACAAACAGAGAGAGAAGGGTGGGGGGGGGGGCAGACAGAGTTCGAGAGAATTTGTGGACAGTTCCTCATTCGTTGGTCTCTCAATAAAAGCTGTTAATTGAAACATTGCATCTGGGAGGACACAGTCTCACCTTGTAGAACAGTGCTCTCTCTGTGGGGTCTCTCAGGAGAGCTTCCACCAGGCCATGTAAGTTGGTGACTGCTGTCTCAATCTTCACATCCTTCTTCTGCAACATAGGTATGCAAAGACATAACTTACAGCAAACATACTGTATTTCTCACAAAATCATTCTTGGGAAAAACATGAAGTGTTAAAAAGGTGATAAAGGCCCATTCAAATACCACACTCGTAGTACAGAGAATTGCTGACTTATAGAGGTCAGTATTTGACTGTCACTCACCAGTGCAGAGGAAGGGGTGGGGGCACGGATCCTGTCCAACTGGGGAAGGATAACCGCTGGATCTGGTGGGTCCGGGCCATGGCACAGTTCTAAGATCAGCTATAAACGACCAGAGACGGTAAAATTAGGGACTGAACAGAGGTAGACAACAGCTCATACAGTGGAAGCACATACTGTACATACAAGGTCGTATTCATTAGGATACACCATAGCAACAGAAAACGAAATTGAGCCTTTCTTATTGGACAAGTTGATGTAGTCCCACCATGTTTCAGTTTGTTTTCTTCCGTTAGGTGCCAAATGAATACAACCCCTTTTCACTACAACATAACTGTCCCACAAGTCTCACCCACCCGTGCTCTCAGCCCCAGAGCCAGCTTGGCCTGGTGTCTAGATGTGAGCAAGCCAGGTATTGTCTCACAGGTTGAGGTCACAAACTCCTCCAGCGTCCCATAATGCATCACATCGCGTTCCTTTATCACCTTCCACATGGCAGCTGAGACCAGCCGGAGAGGAGGGGCCAGGAGGCGTAAGGAAGATAAGGGGAGGGAGACATCTGAGGGGGAAAGAGAGGGAAGAGTGACTGGTTGTTCTTTAAGTAATTCCTCGATTACTGAGCAGAACTTCCTATTTTAGTTAAAATGTGTTTGATATGATATCAATGGCACATTGTTATGATTGTTTATTGGAATAAAAATTATACTCAAAAACAACATATTACTGACAACTTCCTACCACAGTAACGACACACATCAATACAAACAATATTGGGCAAAATGATACAAATTCAAGTAGTTGTTGTTAGTAACCATTTACTACAAGCCCTTAGCCTAGTTAATGGTTGATGACAACATCATTTATTGACTGGGTTGTAAAACTGTCTGGCAACTGTCAATGTCACTGATTTTTCTAACACTGACTAGCGTTCTTGCTTTAAGAGACTAATTGCTACTGATAAAAGAGGTGGTTTAACAAGCTAATTTGGCAACTATCGGGTTTGGATTGTTCTGAACTGCTTACAGTAGCCCGCCACAGTTACTGTCTTTACTGTCAATGGTTGGTAGCTACTAGTTCACTAGTGTCGATGCAAAGAAAAAACGGTTGGAAACCAAATATATTCAAAGGTAATTACCCATTTCAGTTGACTTCTTAGTTGCCATATCGTCCCGTCCGAATTTAGGTAGCTAGATTTCTATACTTAGCTAGCTAGGATAGTTAACGTTGTATGCTAACAACGTATTTATTCTGATATTGTTAACGACGGGGTTACAACAACAGTGATTAACAATCTATACAAACTGAAAATATGCAACTCTTAAAGTTCTGTATCTATTACACTGACTTTGAAAGTTTGTTTTTATTCCTGAAATGTACAATCGTCAATGTGTTCTCCCGCCTTCTCCACAAAGACTTTCTTGCAGGATGTGACGTTTAGTGATGGGAAGATGGACACCGTCGGAGTATTGCCGCGTTCAAAACAACTGGGAACTGGGAAATCTCCGACTTCCTAATTCAGTGCGTTCAAAAACAACAGGGAACTCGGAAAAAGTTCCGTATGGGAAAATCGATTTAAACGGTCATCCAACTCGGGAACTCGGGTCTCGTTCTAGAGCTCCTACTTTCCGACCTGACGATCACTGACGTCATGATTTGACCTCATTTTTTCCGAGTTTCCAGTTGTTTTGAACGCGACATAAGGAACACCGTTTGGGTCTTTTGCCATGTTCAAAACAACTGGGATCATGATGTCAGAGAACTTCATGACGGAAAAGAGCTCTAGAAAGAGGCCCGAGTTCCCGAGTTGGACGACTGACCGTTCAAATCAATTTTTCCCTGTCGGAGCTCGTTTTTCCCCCCGAGTTCCCACTTGTTTTGAACGCACAGTTGTCGAAAGCCAGAGATTTCCGAGTTCCAAGTTGTTTTGAACGCGGCAAACGTAACATTATCACGCAATCAATGACGTCAGAAGCTTCGTTTGATCAAGTCGTTTTTCAAACCGTGTGCTACAAAATGCGAGATCGCACTGATTTCGCCATGGTTCCGGTGTTTTCTTCGATTCCAAGTTACTTTCAAACACCGACCTCTTACTTACGATGTAGTTAGGATTTTTTTCATGGAACGTAATCTGAACGGTACCTAGAAACACTGCGCCACTAAGATTTGATTAATATTATGGAGAAAAAAAACCAGTTTATATTTAACGTCAAACGCTGCTTTTCATTGCTGACCAGCAGGTGTCACTAATGTGCATTGTGTTATTAACCGTTTCTCGGCACAATTTAGTGGAAACACCAAAGGCTTCAGAAAACCACGGTTTCACATCACTAGTGACGTGTGCATGTATGATCTTCATTATTATTACCGTAACTTCACTGAAAGGTTATAAAAGTGTTGAAAGGTAAACGTTTTTCAAATGTGGATTGAATGCCATGCCACAGTAAATGATACATGGTCAATGTTATTATCTCTCTCACGCACACAGAGAGAGAACTTTGCCCTATGCGTCTATCTGATTCATCGTCATAGGTCACTCAACATAAAGTCCGTCCGAGTGAAATAGCTGAGTCAGACACGCAGAATTCGAGAGGCCACAGCACTGACACAACAACAGGAGGAAGAACAAGAAGAAAGCGAAGGAAAAAAATAAGTGGGATATGGAGACAACATCATCACTAATAAAGTAAGTACAGTAACTTCCTCCTACTTTCCCACATTTTGGGTTGCAACATCTCATTCTCAGAGTATTTACGATATAAAATATCTAATTGGATTTTCAATTCGATCGATTGTTATATTTGAGATTCTGATTTTGTTATATTTGAGATTCTGATTTTGTAAGCACGCTACTTTATAATACTGTATCACTCACTGTTGGCTACAGGTTTAGGTGTGGGTTGTTGAAGGGAAGGGCGCATCAACTATACTGAACACAAAACATGCAACAATTTAAAATATTTTACTGAGTTACAGTTAATAAGGAAATCAGTCAATTGAAATAAATAAATGAGGCCCAAATCTATGGATTTCACATGACTGGGAATACATATGTATCTGTTGGTCAAAGATACTTTACAAAAAAATGGGCCTCACAATGCGACTCAGGATCTCTTCACGGTATTTCTGTTCATTCAAATTGACATTGATAAAATGCAATTGTGTTCGTTGACCATAGCTTATACCTGCCCATACCATAACCCCACCGCCACCACGTTGACATAAGCAAACCGCTCACCCACACGACGCCATACACGTAGTCTGTGGTTGTGAGGCTGGTTGGAAGTACTGCCAAATTCTTTAAAACGACGTTGGAGGCAGCTTATGGTAGAGAAATGAACATTCAATTATTTGGCAACAGCTCTGGTGGACATTTCTGCAGTCAGCATGCCAATTGCTCGCTCCCCTCAAAACTGGAGACATCTGTAGCATTGTGTGACAAAACTGCACATTTTAGAGTAGCCTTTGATTGTCCCCAGCACAAGGTACACCTGTGTAATGATCATGCTGTTTAATCAGCTTCTTGATATGCCACACCTGTCAGGTGGATGGATTATCTTGGCAACAGAGAAATGCTCACTAACAGGAATGTAAACACATTTGTGCACAACTTTTGAGAGAAATAAGTTTGTTGTGTGTATGGAACATTTATGGGATCTTTTATTTCAGCTCATGAAACATGGGACCAACACTTTTACATGTTGCGTTTATATTTTTGTTCAGTGTAGATTCAGCCGCGGGCCAATATGTTCTTGAGTGGATGGTCGGGGGGCCGGAACATAATAATACAAATAACTAAACTAGACTGCAAATTGACCGCAAGAAGCCTAAACAGATATATTTGACTAAAACATAATCATTTCAAACCTTGATTACATTTGGGTACATTGTCCTGTGTAGGGTGCCGTCTTTTGGATGGGACATTAAAACGGGTGTCCCATGGCGCTTATTGTAGGTGTTCACCCTTGTGTCATGGCTAAATTCCCAACCTGGCCACACTCCATCATGGCCACCGAATCATCCCCCCCCCATTCCTAATTGGCATATATCAGTCCTCACCTCTCCATCTGATAGCTGATGTGTGGTGAGAGTTCTGGCACAAAAATGGTTGCCATGCATCATTGAGGTGAGTGCTACACATTGATGGTGGATGAGGTGAGTTTCCCCCTACTATATAAAGCATTTTAAATACCTCTGTAATTAATTATGAATTATTATTATTTGTATACGATCACATACAGACTTCTCTCTATTATGCGTGGGAATACTTGGGAACAGATTCCAAAACTAAAATAACTTGAAGCTGATTTCCTGGTGCTTTTACAGTTCTGAGCAATCTCATTCCAAAATCATGGCCAATAATATGGAGTTGGTCCCCCCTTTGCTGTTTTAACAGCCTCTACTCTTCTAGGAAGGCTTTCCACTAGATGTTGGAACATTGCTGCAGGGACTTGCTTCCATTCAGCCACAAGCTTTAGTGAGGTTGGGCGATTAGGCCTGGCTCGCAGTCGGCAATCCAATTCATCCCAAAGGTGTTCAATGGGGCTGAGGTCAAGGGTGTGCAGGCCAGTCAAGTTCTTCCACAACGATCTCGACAAACCATTTCTGTATGGACCTCACTTTGTGCACGAGGTCATTGTCATGCTGAAACAGGAAAGGGCCTTCCACAAACTGTTGCCACAAAGTTGGAAGCACAGAATCGTCTAGAATGTCATTGTACGCTGTAGCGTTAAGATTTCCCTTAACTGGAACTAAGAGGCCTGAACCATGAAAAACAGCCCCAGACCATTATTCCTCCTCCACCAAACTTTACAGTTGGCCCTATGCATTGGGGCAGGTAGCGTTCTCCTGGCATCCGCCAAACCCAGATTTGTCCGTTGGACTGCCAGACAGCGAAGCGTGATTCATTACTGGAAGAGAACGCGTTTCCACTGCTCCAGAGTCCAATGGCAGCAAGCTTTACACCACTCCAGCCGACGCTTAGGCTTGTGTGCGGCTGCTCGGCCATGGAAACCCATTTCATGAAGCTCCCGACTAACAGTTCTTGTGCTGACGTTGCTTCCAGAGGCAGTTTGGAACTCGGTAGAGAGTGTTGCAGCCGAAGACAGACAATTTTTACGCGCAATGCGCTTCAGCACTTGGCGGTCCCATTCTATAAGCTTGTGTGGCCTACCACTTTGCGGCTGAGCCGTTGATGCTCCTAGACGTTTCCACTTCACAATAACAGCACTTACAGTTGACCGGGGCAGCCCTAGCAGGGCATACATTTGACAAACTGACTTGTTGGGAAGGTGGCATCCTATGACGGTGCCATGTTGAAAGTCACTGAGCTCTTCAGTAAGGCCATTCAACTGCCAATGTTTGTCTATAGAGATTACATGGCTGTGTGCTCGATTTCATTCACCTGTCAGCAACGGGTGTGGCTGAAATAGCCAAATCCACTAATTTGAAGGGGTGTCCACATACTTTTGTATATACTGTGTAGTGTATGTCTCTACCTGATGAAGTCTCAATCTCTTCCTGGATACAGCTCAGCCCACACCGCCCTTACACGTTGTACCTCAGCAGTTCATATTACACAACATCTTAGAAAAACATATCATCTTATCTAGATAACAAGTAAGCACAGATATACAGTTGTATCAGTGTGTCTGTTATGCACTATTATAGTGAGTCATAAAGCAAGGTATGTATACATCCAGTCAGCCAGCAAACATCATTCATCTTTCTATCTTTCTTACTATCTCTGTGAATTATTTGTAGACCAAATCAATCTTCCATAGTGCAGTGCAAATGTATACATTTGTATCTATGGACTAGGCAGTAGGTAGAAGTTGTCCCTAACCACTGATACAGGGTCAGGTTGTACATCCCCTTCATGGTTCAGGTTAGGATTGGTGTGTGTGTGTGTGTGTGTGTGTGTGTGTGTGTGGTAATCTGAGCCAAGAACAGGGCAACTTCAAGCCTACCCCCAGATCTGTTTGCGTGACAACGACCGTAGGCGTTGATAAAACCGCATAAACAGATCTGGGACCAGGCTAGGCAAATTCTACATCAAGCTGGCTGTATCTGGCTTTGTGAACATCTTCTTACTCCTCTTTCTCCACAGGTCTGTGACCAGGCGGGTGTGGTCGTCGGCCCCTGCCCATCAGAGACCGTTCAGGGTGTGTTCCCATGACAGGGGCACCAGGAAGGGCATCACAGCAGGAACCCTGGAGGAGCTGAGAGAAAGGGTGAGAGAGGTGGACATGATGAAAATACACAAAGAGAAAAAATATATAAAAAAGGGGGTTCTTTTTATTATAAGGCCATGTGTTTTCCTGACAATGTGACCTGACCAGGAAAAGCTCTGGGCCGTAGTTATATAAGGACAGGTCTGGGATCTGGAGCACTTGCCAGAGGAGAATGTATTTGTGCCTTCAAAATACATACACTGTGTCTGTATGTCCTCTGAATATGTTTACCTTTGCTGCTACCCCAGGTGTGCCAGGCCTTGATGCTGTGCTTGTCCAGTCTGGCTGTGGTGCTTGTGTGTGAGGAGGATGGGACAGTGGTGGACTCTGAAGACTTCCTGATGTCTCTGCCAGACAACACTGTCCTCATGGCCCTAGAACCTGGACAGACATGGAAAACCCCTCCGGTAGGTTCAACACTATGTCCTGATCTAGGTATCTCAATATTAATGTATTTTGTTAGTACAGTATGTGCATGTGTGCACAGCCTTGTCAGATGATAAGAGATTAGTAGGGTTCTGAGTTTTTTTCTCCCACATGACCCAATCAGGAAAATCTTAAAGGCCCAGAGTTTTTCCTGGTTAATAATAGATAATATATGCCATTTAGCAGACGCTTTTATCCAAACTGATTTAGTCATGCGTGCATACATTTTACGTATGGGTGGCCCCAGCGGGAAACAAACAGTAGCGGTGCATGGGTAAAATCACTGGGGAAGCCAAGACAGAAAAAAAGCCATATTACAACATACGTGTTGTGATAATTGCGTTGTTTGCTCTATAACCTAATAGTTCATATGCCTTGTGATCGTGATATATAGGCCTAAGGCCGAGACAATAAGAAGACACAGTGACAGAATAAATTCAACCACAAAACTGGAGAGCAACCTCTGTCCGGTGAAGTCCACAAAGCATATTGCATGTAACAAACAGCTAGAAGACCTACAACATGGTCAAGCAAGTTAATGTTTCTGACATTTTCGGACTACTAAATAACTATTGATTTAGAACCACGGAGAGTTACTGCAAGTCGCAAAGAAAACAGGAGCTGCCTCCACTATTCCAGCACCATTTCAACTTCAACATTTCAACATCATCAAATCATGCTTAGTCTAATACAGTGACAACTAAAAGATACCAAAAACAATTTAGTCCAATCAACGTAAGCTAAATATGATGTGGCTGTCCATGGTTCTGATTTCTCTCTCTCTGTGTGTGTGTGTGTGTGTGTGTGTGTGTGTGTTCGTTCAAGTAGAAAAAACATGTTGACTCACCCTACTTGTTGAGAAACGCCAATGCCATCCTCCTCTCTTTCATGTTGACAAAACGGTCTATGACTCTGTCATACAGTACACACTTTTCAATTTTTTTCTAGGCTACCTGGCTAAAATGCTTGCTGGCTAACCTAACTTCCTTTCATGGGCAACGTTAACTAGTTAACATTAGCCTTCTACATCTAGCTACATATTGAACTTCCATCCTCTCAGGCCAGGGGCACAATGTATGAATTTATGGTTGGATCAGAATCGCCGTTATAATCATTGGCCAGTACGGAGAATTAAGTAAAGTCCAAATCCCAATCTCTATCCATGGCTAATTTAGGAAAGGGACAATTTTAGCTAGCTAGCTAGCCACTGGAGGACAACAACACAATGAGATGCAACAATTCAAGTTGTTTTTGTCAGTGACGTATTTCTCTCGATGTGATTGGAGTGAAGCCAAATCCGAACTGGCTTCCCTTGACACTTTTTTTTTTTTTGGTGTGCCAGGACCATTCACAGTTGAGTTCACTCAGTTTAGCTCAACGCTGATTGGCTATTATTTTATACTTTTTTATTAAGGGAGGCCAAATGCTCGCTGCCATCCCTTGCATTCAGTGCTATGGGCGGCAACAATGTCATACTCTTCTTGACCTGACAGCATCAGATCGATGGCCTATACATACAGCGACAGGGGGGGGGGGGGTGCTGTGAGCTCTAAACCAGGGGTGTCAAACGTCCGGCCCGCAAACGGGTTTAATCCGGCCCGCGAGATGATTTTGACTACATTTTTTTTTTTAAGTATAAAAATGCACTGCAATTTTTCAATAAAATAAACTGCTGTTCCAATTGCGTCCACTGGATGGCGCAATAGCAATTGTGTTAAGCAAGCAAACTGTTTATACCGGGGCAGAGCAAGTAGGTCAAGCACGTGCAGCCAATGAGCTACTTTGTTTTGCCCGCGATATTTATTACGGCTTCTACTTTTAACAGCTTTGGCACCCTCATTGCCCCAATATGTCTCTGTCAAAAAAGAGAAAAGTGGACGCAGAGTGTTCCAAGAAAAATGGTCATCCTATTTATTCACGGAATTGAATGGGAAAGCTGTATGTTTGGTGTGTTCAGAGCATGTTGCAGTGCTGAAAGAATATAACCTTCGTCGCCACTATGTGAGTCTTCATGCCGACAAATATGACAACTTTCAAGGACAGCGGAGATGAGAGAAGGTGAATGAACTGTTGGCGGGTCTGAAGAAACAGCAGTCTGTGTTTACTCACAGCCGAGACATCAGTGACGCTGCAGTGAAAGCTAGTTACCTCATTGCTAATGAAATCGCAGTGGCTTCAAAACCATTTAGTGAGGGTGAATTTGTAAAAACATGCATGATGAAGGCAGCGAAGATTGTGTGCCCTGAAAAGCGGCAGGCTTTTGCAAATATCAGCCTGACAAGAAACACAGTTGCAGACAGGATTTCCGATCTTTCAGTGGATTTGGACAGCCAGTTGAAGCAAAAAGTAAAGTCATTTATTGCATTTTCGGTTGCAATTGATGAAAGCACGGACATTACAGATGTTGCACAACTGGCCATTTTCATCCGCGGAGTTGATGACACATTGACCGTCACCGAGGAGTTCGTGGAGTTGGTGCCGATGACAGATACAACGACAGCAGCTGATATTTTCACTGCACTCGTCGGCGCGCTGGACAGGGTCGGAGTGGACTGGTCCCGCGCTGTCAGCCTGGCTACAGATGGTGCGCCCTCAATGATCGGGAAAAAAGCAGGCGTTGTGACAAAGTTCAGAGAGAAAGTGCAATCTGCAAATGGAGGACGTGATTTTTTGACTTTTCACTGTATTTTGCACCAGGAGGCTTTGTGTTGCAAGTCATTAAAGATGGATAACGTCATGAAGGTGGTCATCCAAACTGTTAATTTCATCCGATCCAGAAGCCTGAATCACCGTCAGTTTGACAGCCTTCTCAGAGAGAAAGACCACATCTATGGCCTGCCATACCACACTGAGGTAAGATGGTTAAGCCGAGGTGCTGTGCTGAGGCGTTTCTTTGATTTAGGAGAAGAAATTGAACAGTTCATGGAAGAAAAGGGCAAACCAGTGTTAGAATTTCATTCCGCAGAATGGATGCAGGACCTTGCATTTATGGTGGATGTTACAGAGCACCTGAATAACTTGAACAAACAGCTGCAAGGGCGCAACAAAGTTGTCACGCAGTATTATGACAGCATACGTTCTTTCAAGTTGAAGCTGTCATTGTGGGAGACGCAACTTGCCGGTGGTGATGCAGCTCACTTCCCCTGTCTGAAAAATGTGTGCGCGACCCAACATGTGGCAGACATGAAGCGGTTCAAAGATAAAATAACGGGACTGTTACGGGAGTTTGAGCAACGCTTTCAGATTTATGTTTATATGTTTTTATGTTGATGTGCTATTGTTTTTAATTGATTTTATTTGTATATTTAACCTATTCTTGACTCTGTGGTTCTTGCACTTGTTTGGGGAACAGGATTTCATTATTTTTATCTACATTTCTGCCTGAGAAATGACACCCTGAGATAGTTCTGTGATCTGTGAAACTGTTCTGTTAATCACTGAGGCATTGTGTGTTTGTGTGTTCTTTTTCTTTAGAATTTTCAAATAAACTTGACGTGTTTTATGATTAATAGTGATGTTGTGCTTGTACTATTTTGGACACACTGTCCTCAGGCTCCAGCTTTATGTTGTATGTTGATCGTATTAAAACAAAGAAAACAATCTGAAGTTGTTGTTTTTAAGTTATATATATATATATATATATACACCATGATTTTTCCGGTCCGGCCCACTTGGGAATAGATTTTCCTCCATGTGGCCCCTGAGCTAAAATGAGTTTGACACCCCTGCTCTAAACCAACCATGTCACTCTCTCCTGGAGTAGGGTGCTGATCCTGGGTCAGCTTTGCATTTCCCCCACTAACTTGATCCTAGATTTGTACCTAGGGGAAACTTCACCCTGGAGCGTCTCTCCTCTCACACCATATCCTACACTAAACCTACAGGGTGCAACGCTGTCTAAAGGCCAGGACCCCAACCAGCCGCGGACAGGAAGGGACATAGCCTGCGTGACCTTTGACCTGTACAGGCAGAACCCCAAGGACGTGTTTGGCTCCCTGAACGTGAAGGGCACCTTCTCAGGCCGGTACTCCGTCAGCGCTGACTTCAAATGTCTGGGGCCCAAGAAAGTCCTCAGGTGAGTAGAGTGGAACCGGATGGGAGGAGGTCTTGTCCCTGGTGGTATGTGTCTGTAACAATGGTAATTTATCATTCTCTCTCTCTCGCTCTCTCAGAGAGGCCCTCCGCGTGGCCTCCACCCTCCTCCAGGCGGCAGGTCACATGTTGATCACCTCAGCCAATCTGATCAAGCGGATCATTGAGGGAGCAGAGTTCTGGCAGCCCAAGAGGGCGGAGGTTGCAGAGTACTGGAACTGAGACAGTTGAGGCTAGTATTGAGTCTATGTACAGGTCCAATCCTAACACGAGAGCTGAAGTTAGGACATGGCCCTATAAACTCTTGCTCTAGGGTCAATGAAGAAGAGATCCAATGTTTATTAAAGCTGAACACAACCACACTTGTAGTAATGGCAATCGCTACAGCGCAACATTCCAATTTTTTTTATATCTATTGAATTTTAAATACTGTACTATGTGTATGATTTGCGTTATGCAAGGTTGTGATGAAGCTACAGTGAGGGGAAAAAAGTATTTGATCCCCTGCTTATTTTGTACGTTTGCCCACTGACAAAGACATGATCAGTCTATAATTTTAATGATGGGTTTATTTGAACAGTGAGAGACAGAATAACAACAAAAAAATCCAGAAAAACGCATGTCAAAAATGTTATAAATTGATTTGCATTTTAATGAGGGAAATAAGTATTTGACCCCTCTGCAAAACATGACTTAGTACTTGGTGGCAAAACCCTTGTTGGCAATCACAGAGGTCAGATGTTTCTTGTAGTTGGCCACCAGGTTTGCACACATCTTAGGAGGGATTTTGTTCCACTCCTCTTTGCAGATCTTCTCCAAGTCATTAAGGTTTCGAGGCTGACGTTTGGCAACTCTAACCTTCAGCTCCCTCCACAGATTTTCTATGGCATTATGGTCTGGAGACTGGCTAGGCCACTCCAGGACCTTAATGTGCTTCTTCTTGAGCCACTCCTTTGTTGCCTTGGCTGTGTGTTTTGGGTCATTGTCATGCTGGAATACCCATCCACGACCCATTTTCAATGCCCTGGCTGAGGGAAGGAGGTTCTCACCCAAGATTTGACGGTACATGGCCCCATCCATCGTCCCTTTGATGCGGTGAAGTTGTCCTGTTCCCTTAGCATAATGTTTCCACCTCCATGTTTGACAGTGGGGATGGTGTTCTTGGGGTAATAGGCAGCTTTCCTCCTCCTCAAAACACGGCGAGTTGAGTTGTTGCCAAAGACCTCGATTTTGGTCTCATCTGACCACAATACTTTCACCCATTTCTCCTCTGAATCATTCAGATGTTCATTGGCAATCTTCAGACGGCCCTATATATGTGCTTTCTTGAGCAGGGGGACCTTGCGGCCGCTGCAGGATTTCAGTCCTTCACGGCGTAGTGTGTTACCAATTGTTTTCTTGGTGACTATGGTCCCAGCTGCCTTGGGCTGATTCCTCACTGTTCTCATGATCATTGTAACTCCATGAGGTGAGATCTAGCATGGAGCCCCAGGCTGAGGGAGATGGACAGTTATTTTGTGTTTCTTCCATTTGCGAATAATCGCACCAACTGTTGTCACCTTCTCACCAAGCTGCTTGGCGATGGTCTTGTAGCCCATTCCAGCCTTGTGTAGGTCTACAATCTTGTCCCTGACATCCTTGGAGAGCTCTTTGGTCTTGGCCATGGTGGAGAGTTTGGAATCTGATTGATTGATTGCTTCTGTGGACAGGTCTCTTTTATACAGGTAACAAGCTGAGATTAGGAGCACTCCCTTTAAGAGTGTGCTCCTAATCTCAGCTCGTTACCTGTATAAAAGACACCTGGGAGCCAGAAATCTTTCTGATTGAGAGGGGGTCAAATACTTATTTCCCTCATTTAAAATGCAAATCAATTTATAACATTTTTGACATGCGTTTTTCTGGCTTTTGTTATTCTGTCTCACTATTCAAATAAACCTACCATTAAAATTATAGACTGATCATTTCTTTGTCAGTGGGCAAATGGACAAAATCAGCAGGGGATCAAATACTTTTTTCCCTCACTGTATGTGCAGAAAGACAATTACTAAAATTGGTGTGATGTAAAAAGGATGTATCTATTTCTATCAATTCTGCGAATGTACCACGAAAGAGCACAAAAGCAAGGAATGGAATAAAAAAAGTTATAATTTTTTACTTTCTTTGTAGTTTCTAATCACCGTCTCATCTTGTGTTTTAATAAATGCTTTCAGTTGTTACATTCAGACTGTCACCTGTCAACAAGTGTAAGGTTCACAACTCAAAATATAAAAGAAAGAAACCCAATTGCAGAACAAGGAGAAACAGTTTTGTTTATTCACAAAGAACCAGATACAACTCAACATACTAACTCTGAGATTTTGATACTGTAGGCTATAGCTGAGTTAGTGAAATCAAAATAAATGATCTATTTTCTTACTACCGATAAGACCACACAAGATCAGCCAAAAGACAACGAAACAGACTGTATAAGCACAATATGAGGTCAGATAGTGAATAAATATATTAAACTGTTAGCATCTGTTTTCTCTAAACATGGGCTATATCCCAATAATCTCTCTGTTCTCCCAAAGTGTGCACTTGTTCACTTCCATTAATGGACCCCTAGGCCATGCCTACATCAATCCAATGATAGTAACTTTGTGGGGAGAAATGAACGCGCGACTGCACACTTCAGGAGGAAGGAGAGATTATTGGGACGCACCCAAGGTCATAGGTTGTCGCAGGTCTGGTAGTTTCCCCAATTCTTTACACTCTGAACATATCAAACAAGGAACATCAATGCAATGTCATAGAAACCTCCCAGCACAAACCTGTGATGGAGCTTGAAACATGAATTGACATCTGAATAACTGAACAGGAAGTGCCAGTTTTAATAGTGCTAGAACTAAAGTAGACAGTAGAACTTCATCATAAACATAATCAACTGCTTGTAACATACAACATAATGCTGGCTCATTCGTGACAACTCCTAATAGTCCCCTTTCAGCACCCTCAGCATTACAGCAGGGGTGTGGCTCAATACTCATAGCTTCCTTTTCCATCATCACTGCAAACAGGTGAAAGTTTAAGATAGGTTTCAAGTTTCAACAAATTACATTTCACCTGTTAGGCCATGCTGGATCAGTGCTCCTGGAGGAGAGGACACAAGGAGAAGAAGCCTCTTCATACTATTGAGTACCCCAAGTCTGTCCCAGCAGTCACTTCAGCTTCACCCCATTCATAGGTCTCAAAGCCCCAGCTCCATCCTCCCTACCAGCCTCCATCCTCAGTCACCCTAATCTGCGCCAGGACCTCTCGGTGCTCCTCCTTACTCATCCAGCATGCCATGCCCTGCTTGACGCGGTAGCGGGAGTCTCCGAACCACTGGGTGAGGGCCTTCCGCGAGAGGCCTGTCTGCTGCTGCAGTCGCGTGTAGCCCCCCTTGGTGGGCCACTGGCAGGTGAGGAAGAAGTGTCTCAGGAGCTCCAGTTGGGCCATGGTCTTGTTCTTTGGCCGCGGGCCCATTTTGATAGCTTGTTCTTCTCCGTCGTCAGTTATGAATTTGGTGATCCCCACCACTTTCCGTTCCTCCTTTGGAGAATTCTTGCCGTTCTTTTTGCATCTCTGAACTCCAGCTCTGGATGTTGTCTCTTTGTCTTCTGCTCCTGTCTTCTTCTTCTTCTTCTTCTTCTGTACTTCCGCTGGTTCTTTCTCCTTCTCCTTCCCCTCCAAGTTTGACCTAATCAGGTGGGTGGTGTTAGCGGGGTTGCTATGGCCATGGTTACCATTGCGGCTCCTGCTTAGGAAGTCGACATCATCTACTTGACAGACCCTTTTCTTCTTTGGTGGTGGTCTGACCCTGCTGTCAGTTGGCGGTGGTGGTTGGGTCAGATGCTGAATAAGCTGGGTCTGTGACGACAGGAGGTTATTGGGCTGTGACTGGCCTTTCTCTTCAGACTCTGGGTCGGCCTTGACGCGGTGGTTGAGCAAGAAGCGTAGGTTGCAGAACCACTTGCGGGTGTACTTCATGTGGAGCCTGGTAAGGGCCTGCAAACGCTGGAGCACCTCCTTCGAAGGATTTGTGTTATAGCGGAAGCTCCGCCGCAGCTCTGAGTGGAAGTCCTGACAGTGCCTCTGGGGTTTGACGTTGTTTTCATGGGCTTTGTCGGGGGCTTCTAGGGTTTGCCCTGTGGTTGTGGGGGGCGCCACTAAGCGTGGAGGGCTTTGGGGCCCTGGAGGAGAAGAGTGTTGCAGATTGGAGTTACTGGGTGCAACAACAGGGTGGCGTTTACGGCGTTTCCGAGGAACGGGTGAGGAGGACTCGAAGGACAGGCTGCTAAGCTGAGTGGAGGTGGAGACGGGTGAATGTTGGCTCCTGTTACTCCCATCATCCTCCTTACTGAGGGGAGGAACCTCTGACGACACCTCCTCTTTCTCTTTGTTGTCCTTCTCCTTCGTCTGGTTTGGTCCGCACATCTTGGTCCGTGCCATACAGATCCCCTCTGCATCCCAGCTGATCCCATAGCGGAGCCGCTGGACCATGAACCACACTCTGACCTAAGATAAGGACAAGATAAGATTGGTTGTTTTCACAGAAATGTGCTTTGCGTTGTTAAAGGTGGTCCTCTGTAGCTCAATTGGTAGAGCATGGCGCTTGTAACGCCAGGGTAGTGGGTTCGATCCCCGGGACCACCCATACGTAAAAATGCATGCACACATGACTGTAAGTCGCTTTGGATAAAAGCGTCTGCTAAATGGCATTTAAATAAAAAAATGTAAGCTGGTCAATTAAACTAATTACAAGGCATCAAATACAACATATGGAATATATAGAGGACTGGTTACCCTGATAGATGGCTGTTGACCCACAATTGCTAGAGGAAGGGTCTGCAAATGTAAAGAAGCTAAGCAAGGACCATGCGTTGGTAGTTTGCCCATGCTATGTCGAAGTCAACTAGAAGTGGACAGCCATGTATCAGGGCAAGAGGACTGGGAACTGTACAGGAGACTATACCTGGTCCAGATGCAGAGAGCAGCTCTGGGCGAGCGCCATCTTCTCCCCTAGGGTCGGGTAGGGGAACACGTTGAAGGCCTCTGTGAGATAAGCCACGCTGTCCAGTTCCTGGGTCTGGTCTGAGTGCGTCCACAGGAGCTTCAGGTGCTCGGAGACCAGAGGCAGACACACCATGTGGTTCTGGTTGAGGCCGAAGGGAGCCGGAGCTAGATTGTAGGGGGACGCCGTCCCTGCCCTCCCCTGACTTTTGGGGGACATTATCCCTGTGCCCTCCTTGCTGCCGTCAGCGGGGCCTAAGGGAGGGAAGAGAGTTGGGTCAGGGGTGGAGGCCGGGTACCGTGGTTGTGGTATTGGGGCTGGAGCTAACTCAGTCTTCTCTGTGAGCTTAGCAGCAGCAGCTGGATGGGAATGCTTGTCCAGCTCTGCTGTCCGCTTTGTTCTGGTCATCACAGCACTCCTATGGTGATGGATATAGAATTTAAAAACTCCTACGTTTTTAAAGATATTCTTTACATGATGTAAACAACAAAGTTTGCTAGCTAGTTTGCTACTGTAGTTAGAACTGCTTTGGACAAATTATCTAGCTACAATTCCATTGTTGTTGTCATTGTTGTGTGTATGCATTCAGTGCATGTGTGCATGTCATGTGTCTGCGCGCTACCCACTGGGTGTGTGCAATGCAATGTAAACTACTTGTTACTGTTAACCAATGATGCTAGCTTGCTAGCTAGCTAACTGGGATTTCATAGATAGTTACCTAGCGCTAGTTATCACTGTTATCATCCCAACAACAAGTATTTAGCTACTTACCATTAGATACCATTAAAATAACTCGCAGTATGGCTAGCTAACATTAGTTTGCTGTGGTTCACTGTTATTTCCCATCTCGTGGTGATCGTATCCACGATCACTTAACAGCTAGCTAGCTATAAATAGTGTCAAACCTAGCTACATGCCACCGATTATTAATTGATTAGAGGATGGATGGAGTCAGGTTTACATTTTAACCAGCACTTTGTCTCCCCCTGTTGGCTGTGTAGTACATCTAACATGCGTGCCATTCATTTACGCCCTGGATCCTTTCTCCCGGTTTCAACTAGATACAGTGCTGGAAAAAGTGCCGAAGTGTAAAGATGCTGTACCTTAATAGTAAAAGTGAAAGTCACACAGTAAAATACTACTTGAGTAAAAGTTTAAAAGTACTAGGTTTTAAATGTACTTAAGTATCAAAAGTAAATATAATTTATAAAATATACTTAAGTATCAAAAGTAAAAGTATAAATCATTTCACATTCCTTATATTAGGCAAACCAGACGGCACGCTTTCCTTCTTATTTTAATTTATGGCTAGCCAGGGGCACACTCCAACACTCAGACATAATTTACAAATGAAGCATTTGTGTTTAGTGAGTCCGCCAGATCAGAGGCAGTAGGGATGACCAGGGATGTTCTCTTGACAAGTGCTTGAATTGGACCATTTTCCTGACCTGCTAAGCATTCGAAATGTAATGAGTACTTTTGGGTGTCAGGGAACATTTATGGAGTAAAAAGTATATTATTTTATTTAGGAATGTAGTGTAGTAAAAGTAAAAGCTGTCAAAAATATAAATAGTAAAGTACAGATACCCCCAAATGTTTACTTAAGTACTTTGCACCACTGACTAGATAACACCCTAACCCCTAACCTTAAGCCCTACCCTAACCCTATCCTTAACAATAACCTTTACCTTACTCTTACTTTAACCATTTAAAATGTCAACTTCAATGGGGTAGGGACTTCCCAAGGATCCAGCATTGGCACTGACCGATAACACAGCCACAAAGTCAGATTCCACAGCCACAAAGTCAAAATGTGCACCAATTGTTTTTAAATTTAGGGTTAGACATAAGGTTAGCAATGTGGTTAGGGTTTGGTTTAAATCGAATTTTAAGAAGATAAATTATAGAAATGGGCGGGGTTTAGACATAATATTGGCCATATTTGAGGGCATCAAAATGACTGCAGGCGACTGCTGACTGACTGATCTACAAAGCAGCTTTCATCATAACCACTCATTATTACTTGTAGATCAGTCAGTCAGTCACAATTTACCCATGATGCAGGCTAGGGCTGGCTTTGACTCCATGTGTGGGTATGGATGTGGGTACTCAGACCCGCAAGCCGCTGAGGCCCCTCATGATGATTTAAGATTTTATGTGGCCCCCACCCCTATCCAAGTTGCCATCCTTGATTTAGCTCTTCTTGAGGCGCTGTTGAGTTTTGGCCACATGAGAGAAGAATGTGACCATGTGCACAATCATCCTAAAATCTCATAAGAAATTTGGTGGTGTTTTTTTTACTTCCAGTAGCGTTATACTATGCTATTATATTTGGTTCTGTTATGTAGAATACTAGCATTATGTGATCTTGCAGCCATTGATTCAGCTTTGACCTAACTTTATTAAAAAAGCACAATTCGCCAGAGTAGCACGTTCTCTGAGCAGCCAAACAAGTATAGCAGAGACTGTGCATAAAGTAGAGAATCCCGCACAAATGCCAAAAGCTTCAAAACTTTAGCTGTGCGTCCAGAGATGTCAGATCCGCAGCCACTCCGTTCATTTATTTGGAACAGAGTGGCTAGGGGTGGGGCGGGGGTGTAAGAGGGTTATCGGTACGCTGTATATGGAGGTGTTTTGCGAGCTTGTGTAATGTCTAGGCAATGACGAGATTTAGTGTATTGAATTCAGTTTGGATCCCGGCTAGTGTGTTGGTGGTGATACTGTAGGATTCAGAGGAAGCTAGTGGGAAGAGCTATAGGAGGACGGGCTCATTGTAATGGCTGAAATGGAATTTATGGAACAGAGTTAAACATGTGGTTTCCATATGTTTTATGTGTTTGACTCCGTTCCATTTATTCCATTCCAGTCATTAGCGCCTGTCCTCCTAAAGCTTCTCCCACCAGCCTCCTTATGCGTATTGGACTCACAGTGGCTGGATTTGGGTTTACATGCAAGGCAGGACCTTGTCTCTCCCTGCTGCTTAAATACCCACCTATCACAATGTTGTCCCATTGTACTAGGACTTTTCATGCCCCTTAATTCCATTTAGTTGACCTCATCATTGTACAATAAATCATGTAGGCTACATAGTCAGTTGATTGAATGTAAATGCTGAGGGTTCTGTCCAGTTATTCAAAAAGTGTTAACTTACAAACTGGACAAAATCAAAGTACATTGTGATTTTCTTAACAGCATGAAATTACATGAAATATAGTACACAGTGGGCTTCCCGAGTGGCGCAGCGGTTTAAGGCACTGTATCGCGGTCTATGGCACTGCATTACAGTGCAAGAGGCATCACTACAGACCCGGGGTTCGATCCCCGTCTGTATCACAACCGGCCATGATCGGGAGTCCCATAAAGCGGCGCACAATTGGCCCAGCATTGTCCGGGTTAGGGGAGGGTTTGGCCGGGGGAGCTTTACTTGGCTCATCGGGCTCTAGCGACTCCTTGTGGCGGGCCGGGCGCCTGCAGGCTGACCCCGGTTGTCAGTTGAACAGTGTTTCCTCCGACACATGGGTGCGGCTGGCTTCCGAGTTAAGCGGGCGGGTGTTAAGAAGCACGGTTTGGCGGGTCATGTTTCGGAGGACACATGACTCGACCTTCGCCTCCCGAGACCGTTGGGGAGTTGCAGTGATGAGACAAGATCGAAAAAGGGGGTAAAATACAACAACAAACAAATAATATATATATATATACAGTGGGGAGAACAAGTATTTGATACACTGCCAATTTTGCAGGTTTTCCTATTTACAAAGCATGTAGAGGTCTGTAATTTTTATTATATGTACACTTCAACTGTGAGAGACGGAATCTAATGAATCTGATTTTTAAGTAATTAATTTGCATTTTATTGCATGACATAAGTATTTGATTACCTACCAACCAGTAAGAATTCCGGCTCTCACAGACCTGTTCGTTTTTCTTTAAGAAGCCCTCCTGTTCTCCACTCATTACCTGTATTAACTGCACCTGTTTGAACTCGTTACCTGTATAAAAGACACCTGTCCACACACTCAATCAAACAGACTCCAACCTCTCCACAATGGCCAAGACCAGAGAGCTGTGTAAGGACATCAGGGATAAAATTGTAGACCTGCACAAGGCTGGGATGGGCTACAGGACAATAGGCAAGCAGCTTGGTGAGAAGGCAACAACTGTTGGCGCAATTATTAGAAAATGGAAGAAGTTCAAGATGACGGTCAATCACCCTCGGTCTGGGGCTCCATGCAAGATCTCACCTCGTGGGGCATCAATGATCATGAGGAAGTTGAGGGATCAGCCCAGAACTACATGGCAGGACCTGGTCAATGACCTGAAGAGAGCTGGGACCACAGTCTCAAAGAAAACCATTAGTAACACACTACGCCGTCATGGATTAAAATCCTGCAGCGCACGCAAGGTCCCCCTGCTCAAGCCAGCGCATGTCCAGGCCCGTCTGAAGTTTGCCAATGACCATCTGGATGATCCAGAGGAGGAATGGGAGAAGGTCATGTGGTCTGATGAGACAAAAATAGAGCTTTTTGGTCTAAACTCCACTCGACGTGTTTGGAGGAAGAAGAAGGATGAGTACAACCCCAAGAACACCATCCCAACCGTGAAGCATGGAAGTGGAAACATCATTCTTTGGGGATGCTTTTCTGCAAAGGGGACAGATTCCGTCTCTCACAATTGAAGTGTACCTATGATACAAATTACAGACCTCTACATGCTTTGTAAGTAGGAAAACCTGCAAAATTGGCAGTGTATCAAATACTTGTTCTCCCCACTGTATATATATATATATATATAGTACACAAACAGAGAGTACAATTGATATCTGTTGTGTATGTGTATTTTGTATAAATGTGTGGATCTTGAGATTTATTGTTAAAATGAACAATAAACAATGAACTATAAAACACAAATCATATGGAATGCTCTTTATTGGTCAGAACTGACAAGACTGAAACAACAAAAAATGTGGCTTAAAAATTGCATTACACGTTTGACTAAAACCAATAGACATAAAATGTTAATCATCCTATAAAACATTATGAAGTAAATATACCCACTGGGCACACAATGGTTGAATCAACGTTGTTTGTTGAACAAACAGCAGCAGTGGGGATGCCCATGTGGAGAGGTCCATCAGTTTCAACAGCAGTCTTACCACCACCGAAATCTAATGAGTGAGTCTCACCAAGGTCCCATGTGCAAGTGTGAGAGGGTTATCGGTACGCCGTATATAGAGGCATTCTGTGAGCTTGTGTAATGTCTAAACAATGTCTTAAATGTCTTGAATTCTGTTTGGATCCTGGCTAGTGTGTGTTACACTGGCTGGATTTCGGTTAACATGCAAGGCAGGATGTTGTCTCTCCCTGCTGGTTAAGTCACCCACCTATCACAATGTTGTCCCATTGTTCCAA